AGGACCTTCCCAGCCGCGGGAGCCTCCTGATTTTTATCCGCCACACATGGGTGTAGGACCAGCCCGTCTACCAGTCTCGATGTGGCTGCTGTTGTAATTCTGTAGTCATAGGACTTCCCTTCAGCTCGGTGTCAGGCACCTTTGAATGATGGTTGTTCTGTAGTTTGGTTGTAACTTTGACGCGGTTTTGGGAGGACGGATACCCGTTTACCTGCCCACCGTCCTGGCCTGAAGTCTGTCAGACCTTTTAATGTGCAGACAAAAGAACTGATTCACATACTTCCACACAAATATTTATAGCAGCACTATTCACAACAGCTCAAAGGTGTAAATAATCCAAATGTCCATGGATAGATGGATGGATACAATTTTGGTATATACATAGAGTGGAACAGAGCATTAGCCATAACACTGATACTTTCTATGAGGGTGATGAACCTGGAAAACAATGCTAAGTGAGTGAAAGACAGACATAAAAAAGTCACATATTTCATTTATGTGAACTTGTGGCACGAGAGAACCAAGAGACCACCAGAGCCAAATTAAAGCCAAATAGGGAGCAAAGCTGGCAGGCGACTGATTCCAAGCTCTCGGAGACCAGCCCTGGGGCCTCCAAAGGTTGTGGCGCGACAGAGTCAAAGGAAGACCCCCTAGAGAATTGAAGTCCAAATAAGAGCCGTTTATTAGCCGGCCGGAGTCTGATTCCGAACACCCCTGTGACAGAGTCTTTGGAGTCAGCCCCGATACGCTTTATCACCTTACATGCCTTTTATACCTCACAGCAAATCGGATCTTCTGGATATAATGCCCAGAGCCACACCAATGCTGTATAGAATTAGTTTGCCTTACGGATAACAGGAACACCTAGGTGCACCCAGGAACACCCAAGTATTTCAGGTATTTCAAGGTACACTGGGTCACGCTTAGCCCCAAGCTGCACAAACACAAGGCAAGTCTAATTCCTTGAGATTGTGGGGGAGGTCGAGTCTCTGACTCAAGACCTCCAGGCTCCGTAGACTCTGTCTGACACGTAGCCGGCTCCCAACAATTCCTTGGTTCAAGGAATATTCCAATTTACTGAGGTTATTTTGACTAACCAGGTTCAGCTAGAGGGCACACAGTGATTTTCCCCATCATCAATTATGGAGCAGCACAGTAATTTACCAATCATCAGTTATGGGGTTAAAACATGCCAGCACAAACTCTCCAGATTAGGTAAATTCATAGAGGCTGAAAGGAATTGATGTCTCTAAGGTCTGGGAGAGGAAAGAAAGGGGAATAACTGCTTAACGGAGGCAATAAAAATATTTTGGAACTAGACAGAGTTGGTGGTTGTACAACATTGTGAATATACTAAATGCTACTGAATTGTACAGTTCAAAATGTTTCATTTTATTTCTGTGAATTTCACCTCAGTAACACTTTTTAAAAGTTTATAACCCAACAACCAAAGTTATTTAAAGGTGTAGAATTACAGACACTGCAATGTGTGCTGATTATTCGGTTTCTGAATTTTAAATCTGTTCAGTGAGGAGCTTTTTTTTTCCAATATGAAGTTCATTGGCCCTTGATATTGTGGACAAAAGGGGTCACATGCTAACCAGATAAGCTCCAGGGAGACCTAAAGTAACCACGCAAGATGGTCTGAAATTTTCTTTCCTACTAAAAGCAGTGTATGGCAGGAAGTCATATCAGTGTTCACCCTCATGAAGCCTGTTGTCTGTTTGCATCTAAGATAACTGACCTTTGGAATGTGGGATGACTTGCTTTCACCCCCAGACTCCTCAGGGCACAGCCTATGCACCAGGGTGGAAACTACAACCCCCCTCATTATTATTACCATGTTAATTATTGACTGTTAACTATCCTGTACCCAGGTATGTAAAAGAAGGCTGTGTCTATCATTTTACTTTTTGTCCAATCCCACAGATCCCCCCCTTTGCTTTCTCCCACCTCCCTAAATCTATCACCAGTGGATTTCATGTAACCCACTTGTGTCTTCTCTTTTGATTGTAATGTATAAATCATGGTGCAAAACGGCCATTCTCTGGAGCATTACCTCAGTCTGTTGAGGTTTTGCTTCCCAGCATTTGTCGATAGTTTGGCTCAGATAAACTCAGAAAATTCTGCACAGGTTTGAATGTTTCTTACATTGTCAGTATCCTATCAAAGGCTGCACGGCTTGGACTAGTAACTGTAGGAATCATGTCATTCCCTTTTCGTAGGATGAGCTGGGCAATGAGAAAACCTAGTTGCAAGTTTCTTTTTTTTATTATTTATTTATTTATTTTTTATCCTCACCCGAGAACTTTTTTTTTTCTTCTATTTTTTTGTTCAGATAGAGTGGGAGGGAGAGCGAGGAAGAGAGAGAAAGAGAAACATCGATGTGAAAGGGACACATGGAGTGGCTGCCTCCCCCACAACCCAACCAGGGCCGGGGACAAACTGCAACCCAGGTACGTGCCCTTAGTGGGAACCGAACCCGGTCTCTCTGGACCACAGGCCGACGCTCTAACTGCTGAGTCAAACCGGCCAGGGCAAGTTGCAAGTTTCTTTCACTCTAGAAATTCAACAGGGCTAGTAACATTTTAAAGGGTAAGGGTAAAAGCTTGCAAAAGGTGAAAAAATGTGTTGCTTCTGTGACCTTTGCTCAGCCTTCTGTTGAATACAGATTACCAGATTCTGCACAAGACAATGACTTACCCAGCAGATGCAGGACAAGATACCAGACCAGTCCAACTGCAAAGTGGACAGTGGGCCAGGCAGAGGACCTCAGCAGAAGCTAGATGTAGAGTATATAACTTACACCCCAACTGTTGTTCGAGGCTGACCCCTTTTTGGGTTCAGCCCACCTGCACCCAGGCGCACTCAGTAAAATCATTTTGGTCTGGTTTGGTCTTACCGTTGTGGGTGTGATCCCCTGCTGGCTCAGACCTTTTTACATCCTACTCCTCCAATAACAGCCACCTCCTATTGTTATAGGACAATGAAAAGCTAGGAAAATTCCAGGACAAGTGGAATAGGGAAACAGAAAAAGTAAACAAAGCCAAAAAACTTTGCATGCTTCTTGTAGCAAGGCCTTGTCTTAGAAAGAGTTAAAAACCTCTCCTCACAAAGAATGCAGGAGAGGAGGGGGAACATAAGGGGGAGAGGAGTAGGAATCTTAATCCAACTAGAGACTACATTTAACAATCTCGTGATTTAATTGCCAGGTGCTTCTCGTAAATTGTGGAAAAGCCATAACAAAGCAAAGGGATCTTCAGAGTTCATCTGTACCAGGACATCTAGCAGAGGGATTTTTAAAAAAAATTAAAAACAGGAGGGTTTATAAGGCAGAAAACCCCACCCTCACCTTACTTGCTCTTCTGATTAGCCGAGTCCATCTATGCTTCATAAACCAGATGTATAGACTAGCTTGACTTGCTTCTCCCATTAATGTGCATGCTCTAATTTTTAATACAATTACTTTTTTTGTTAATCTACACCTGAGTTTATTTTTTCCATTGATTTTTAGAGACAGTGAAAGGAAGGAAGGGAGGGGGAGAGGAGGAGAGAAACATCAATGTGAGAGAGGTGTGCACTGGTTACCTCCTGCAGGCACCTTGACCACCGCTAGGGGTTTGGAACCTGCAACCCAGATACATGCCCTTGACCAGAAATTGAACCCACAACTCTTTGGTGTACAGGCCAACACTAACCACTGCGAACAGCAGCCATGGCAATAAATTCACTTTAACACAATGTAATTGAGGTCTCTCCTTTAAAGTGCTTTACAGGAGCAGGACAAGAACCGAGGTGCGGACCCCCCTCCTGGCTCTCCTCCAGCACCTCTCTGGCGTCTGGACAGATGCCTGCACTAGCAGGACCCTGTGCTGCAGACCTAAAGGCCCGGAGCCGCCCGGCCACGCCCACGGAGGCCACGCCCCCAGCGCGCTGGTCCCCTAACGTCCTCCAGCCCCGCCCCTTCCGCCGCTATCACGGCCCCGCCCAGCGCGCCGCCGGAAGTGCAGTCGGAGCGGGTAGGACGGAGCGCGCAGCTCGGCGGCAGAGCGGCTGCGGAGCTGGTGGCGGGGAGCGAGCCCACGGGCCTTCCCACGGGCGTTCTGGCCGGGGCGCGGCGGCCCACAGGTGGGCGGCGGCCGGCGGGGGGCGGTGAGAGCCGCGCCGGGGTCTGAGGTGAGCGGGCGGCTCCCGCGCGGCCGTCGTCGCTGCCGGCGCGGAGCGGGAAGGCGGTGTCCGGACGCGGTCGGGCTGAGCCACCCCCTCGGCCTCGCGGAGCCCGGAGCACGCTTCCCTCGGTCGTTGTGCCTTCGGGCTCCGGCACAGGTGTTGGGGCCGCAGGAGGGCGGGGCCCCAGTCCCGGCGCCACAGAGAGCGGGCGGTGGGAAGGCGGCAGGTGGGCCCGGGCCTCCCGCCTGGGGCCGGGTCTGCGGCGGGTCTGCGGCGGCCGGGAGCCGAGGGGACCCCGGGCGGGGAGGGGCGCGCTTCCGGCGCCGCCGGCGGGACCCCTGCGAGGATCCCGGTGGGAGGCGCTGAGGCTTCCGCGCTGGGTGGAAACTGGGATGTAAACCTCCAGCAAATTCAGAAGAAAACTGTCCATCTGAGCAGAAGCAGGTCTTTGTCTTATTATTATTTTCGTTATTGACTTTAGAGAGAGGAAGGGAGTGGGAGAGACGGGCACCGCCGGGAGAGAACGCGACGGGCCGCCTCTGGGGCAGGCTCGGCGCTCGGGGCTCGGCGTTATTTTAACTGCTTTGCCTTCAAACTGTAACGAGCGCTGATTGTGGGGCCCAGGGGTGTAAGATGTTGCAGGAAGAGTCTAAGATGAAAGGTGGACGGTGGTCAGGCGCTGGCCGGTCTGGCCCAGCGGCTCGAGCTCGGCCCGTGGACCGGAGAGTCCGGTTCGGTTCCCGCAGGGCACGTGCCCCGGTTGCAGTTTGTCCCCGCGGTTGGGGCGGTTGGGGTCGTGCGGGCGGCGACCAGTGACGTGGTCTCACTGTGGACGTTTCCCTCCCTCCGTCTCCCTCCTGCTCCATCTGAAGACAAATGCGAAAATGTCCTCGGGTGAGGTTACCAAAAATTGTTTTTTTTTTTCATAGTGGTTTGAATGGCAGTACAGTGTGATCGTGGGAAATTCACCGGCCCTGGGTGCGTTCTTCTCCCGAGAGGTTGATTACAAGGGTTTTCTCACGGGCTCAGGGTGTGTAGGGACGTCCTGACACAGTGATGTGTGGTTGGTAGGTGGTAGCAGTTGGTTTTTGTCTGTGATACTTAAATAATTTAAACTCACTAAGTTTCCCCCATCCCCTAATGTAGTGATAGATCCAGTTTACACTTGATCTTAGGCAAAAGGCTGAGGAGCATTAGAAATTATTATTATTATTATTTTTTGTAATCCTCACCCGAGGATATTTTTTACATTAATCTTCAGATACAGCTGGAATGAGAGAGGGAGGAAGAGTGAAACATCAGTGAGAGAGAGAGAGAGACATCGATTGGTTGCCACCCGCACAACCCCAACCGGGCTGGGGACTAATGGCAGCCGAGGTACTGCCCTTGGCCAGAATCGAACCCAGGACTCTGGTGTGTAGGCGATGCTCTTACCGCTGAGCCATACCGGCCAGGGCTAGAAATCTAATTTTAAAGTCATCGTATTTTACTTGTATCTTCATCTTTAGATTCACTGGTCAGAAATTTTTCATCTTAACTGGAATTCATAATAAATCTATAAGTTCTTGAAGGGTAGGATTAACGTCTTAACCGTTTTTTTAATGATTATTCCTAGATTGGTCCTGTGTTGTTGTCCCCTGCCCCCACCCCCCCGAATTTCCCTCTCCCCCACCCCCTTTTTTAATACACCTAAACTGGCAAAACCAAAAGAATTTTACGTGGAAAATACTGTTTTGTGTCCCTTGAAAATGTGCTTTTAGCTCACCTGCCGAGACAGACACAGGTTACAGGAGGGAGGTGAAGAAGTCTGAGAAATGAGCCTTACTTGCATCACTCAGAGCAGATACACAGCGTCTCTGCTGGAGGCGGAGGGGACAGCGGGCTTCAGCCCTGCAGAACCTCTGAGTCACTTGGGGGCTCCAAAATGGTGATACCTGGGCCCCTCTCCAGTCTAGTTAATGAGAATCACTGGAGGGTGATACTTGGATAGTCCACTTTTTTTTTTTTAAAAAAAATTTAAAAAAAATATGGTTTTGATTTTTTTTTTTTTTTGAGAGAGAAACATCGATTGGCTGCCTCCTGCACGCCCCCTACTGGGGATCAAGCCTGCAGCCCCGGTATGTGCCCTGACTGGGAATCGAACCGGGACCTCTCTCTCAGTCCATGGGACGACACTCAATCCACTGAACCACACTGGCCGGGCAGGTATTCCACTTTTAAAAGCTCCCAGGGTTACTCTGTTTTGCAGCCAGGATGAGAACCCTTGTGTTAGAGAGATGAGATTTTTCAGGAGTGTATCCAGTTTGCTTGATGCGGGGAGGGCTGGAGGCAGGGGAGCTGCAACTGGAAACGTAGCCCAGGGCGTTTGGGGTAGTTATCAGCGCATTGGTGCAACGTATAATCTATACGCTGTGCAGACGGCTGTACCCCTGGGCAGGTGGTTACAGTAACTAGAGCAGCAACAGCAACATTCAAAACAACTTGTTCTTTTCTCTCTTGGATGGTAAATGTTTTTGAAGAAAGTGAGTTATCATTTTATTTAATTTATTTTTTTTATCACCCAAGGACATTTTTTTTTTTTTACATTTATCTTCAGATAGAGCGGGAGGGAGAGAGAAACATGAATGTGAGAGAGACACATCAGCTGACTGGTTGCACCCACACAACCCCAACCCAGGTGGGGACAAACTGCAACCAAGGTACTGCCCTTAGTGCAGCGGTTCTCAACCTGTGGGTCGTTACCCCTTTGGGAGTCCAACGACCCTTTCATTCACAGCAGTCGCCTAAGACATAACAGTAGCAAAATTACAGTTATGAAGTAGCAACGAAAATAATTTTATGGTTTGGGGGGGGGTCATCACAACATGAGGAACTGTATTAAAGGGTAACAGCATTAGGAAGGTTGAGAACCACTGCCCTAGTGGGAACCGAACCCGGGGTCTCTCTGGTCCACCGGCTGCCGCTCTAACTGCTGAGCCAAACTGGCCAGGGCTTGAGTAATCATTTTGACTTGCAAACTGTTTTGCCTGACAACAGTGAATGGATAGATTGTGATACGTGAATTTCATTGTTGCTGATTATTAAAAAATGTGTTAGAAAAACATACCACAATTAATGTTTCTTATTACTTACTAATTTATCTCATTTCTCTTGATAGCTTTTTGTTAATAGAGGGTTTTGTTTTTGCTTTTACAGTGCTATAAAATTGATACTAAAGACATGATTTTCACCCTACTTCATCAACGCAGTTAAGTTTTCTTTTTGGACCCCTATTTCATACCACAATGGTAAGCTACAGCTTAGTATGTTGATATTTGTGCTTTAGATTGTTCTCTTCCTTTATCTCCATAAAAATATCTGTATTATTGGTATAAAAATCCTTGTCTCCTGTTTGAGTTCCCTAAGTGGGAAATTACTTAGTAATCCTATGCAAAATCTTCACAGAATAGGAGGCTCATCTCTTAATTCCATGTTAAGATTATTGTATCCAGGTTATACAGATAATCACCTGTCTTTATCTTTGTGGAATATTGAAAAATATGTACTTATATTTACCATAGTTCAAATCGTTGGCAAGGAGGATGGGTGTAAATAGAAGTAGTTTTAGGGGTTTCTCATATTTTAAAGTTCCTCCTAATTTAGATTTTAAAATTTTTTTAAAGAAATGTAAGCTGGTTTGACATCAATTTTAGTCTTTTAGTGGCATATTTCAGTTGACTGGTTTACAGTCACTAAACACACTTATTAGACTAGGCGTTTAACTTTTGCCGTTAAAAAGTTGAAGGGGAAAAACTTTCGAATGTTTTAAAGAAACAGCAGCATGTGACAGTACGAGAAGAAATGAACACTTGACCACCATGTTGAATTAACCTCAGAAAACATGTATTTCTCCTTTCGGGATCTGCCTCTACCTGTGCTCTGTTAAGGAAAGTAGAGCTGTTGCAGTGAGGTTCAGATCTCGCTTTATATGTTTGCATCCAAATTAGCGAATCATTTCCTTCTAAAGTATTTGAAGGTGGTATTGTATAAATGATGATTGTATTTATATGTAGGTATATCTCACTAAACCTTTTGAAGTTTTTATTTTAGAAGTGAAATTGTTACTTTATTGATAGCAGCATTATTTATAATAGCTGAGATCTGGAAACAGCCCAAGTATACATTGGTAGAGGAGAGGATAAAAATGCTGTGTTACATTTACACGATGGAATATTGTAAAAAATACTGTGCGGTTGTTAAAAACAGAAGGATCTCTTACCCTTTGAGACAGCATGGATGGACCTGGAGTTTATTATGCTAAGTGAAATAAGCCAGTCAGAGAAAGACAAATATTACATGATCTCATATATGGAATCTAAGAAGCAAAATAAACTGACGAACAGAATAGATCCACATGGAAACGTGGAACAGATGGCAGATTTCAGGAAAGGAGGGTGGGAAGAGATTATTCAAAGAATTTATATACCCATGGACCCAGTAGAGAGGTGAAGGCCTGGGGGGGGTGGAGGGAGGAGGAGGGAAATTGGGGGAAATGGTGGCCATTAATATTCTCAACAATAAAACAAATTAAAAACCATTCCTTAACATTAAGGTTTTATGCTCAAAATAATTAAAAAGAACTTTATGTATTTGTCAGGTGCATATATCTAGAGTTATGTTTTTGTGCTGGAAAACACTTTATACTTAGGAATGTCATCTTGTCCAGTTTCATTGGGAATCTGATCCCTGTAAGATTTTAAAAAATAAATTGGTTTAAATTTATTTTAACTGAATCTTTTGAAAGGACATATTTCAGACTTTTTTATTTACTACATTTTAGATGTTTGCTAATGTGGGTTGTTTTTTATTGCAGTCTAAATGAAAGGGCCAGCTGTTTTTGTAATCATGATTTTGTCATTCTTAGGGCTAGGGTGGCAGGGTCACTTAAACCTTTCCATGATTTCCAAAGTTTGGCAATATTTATTCTTCACTTTAATGGGATTTTGATGGGTGCTGAGAGATTTTACCCCATACAACCTGGTAGGTTGAATTGTTGGCATGTACAAAATAAATCATAAAAATTTAGATCTTGTAAACAAAAAAATGACAGTTCTGTGCCTTCTCAGTGGAATTAAAAGTGACTATCATTGAGAATGAAAAATACAGTAACCACAAAACTGGAAAGATAAATCACTGGTGGTATATTTGCTTAATTTTGTTTAAAACCTAGTACTTTTTATTTTTAGGTGTCCTTACAAAAGAAGCTACACAGATGGGGAAGATAGAGATTATCTACTTATTTCCTCCCTCTTGCCTAAGGGTCTCCAAATAATGGGTGCAGGATGGGAATTTACTAGTAGATCTTAAATCATACGTGGATCAATCATACTGTGTTTTATCAGCTCTGAGATGCATTCCTTTTACATTTTACTATTACTGAGTTGATGATGAGTCAATGCCATCTTACAGTTATAATTGGTGGCACTTTTTTCTTAATGTTGGATGTATGCTTATAGTTTATGGTATCTTAAAATCATTGAAACATGATAATGAGACATTATCATAGGCACTGACCTAAAAGCATATGTTAAAAATTTTCTGCATTAATAGGAATTTTTAAGTTGATATTAGGTGCCAACATAATAACACCTCCATTTTTCAGGATTCTTAGACTAGGAGAGTTTTATCTTTGCTTTACTTGAATTGCATACTTGATGTCCAGCATGTCTTACTGAATGGTTGGTTCTCTTAGAATGTTGAAGAAATTACAGTTTATAAAATGGTAGTAGTTACTATATCTAGCCCATGGCCCTACATCAGCCTCAAGTCCTGACCAGGAAAGGCGATTTTAGCATTTCTTATCTAATTTGTTGTCATAATCAGGTGCCTAAGACTGCCATGTTCTTTCTTTATAATATATAGAGAGCATACAGTGGGGGTGTGGAGAAGAGAAATAAAAGGAAAATATGTTAGACTTATTTTAGAAAATTAAATGCACTTAAAACTTAATTACAAATGTTGTGTATATTAAATTATATTTTTTGAAAATAACTAATGTTCCCAAATGCACTATTCACTCTTCACAGCAGCAAGCTTTAGAACTGGCTTTGGACCGTGCGGAGGTGAGTGACAGGTTGTGTGCTGAAACAGTGTTGCCTTAATTGACAGAACTCATTCTAAGAGACTTTTGTCTGGTTGTCAAAGGAGTGCATGAACATTTTTTTAGGATAAGTATGCAAATTTTTTTGTAAATATATAAAAATACTAGGTGATGTTTGAACCATTTGTAAATTGAAACCCTCAGATAATGATGCTGTAGCATAAAAAATATTGCAGAATAAATATTTTAAAAAGGACAGAATTTCTAGAATCATGTTTTCCTGTTCTGACAAGTTTTCTAGATGCGCAGTTCAAGGGGGATATAGCTGAAAAGTATACACAGCCTTGCAGTTGGATACGCTGTGCATATCCTAAGCATACTGAGGATATTTTTGACCTGTGAAAGAAATCACTGTTGTAAAAATACATAATATTGCTTATATCATAGCAATAAAATGTTGTGTTAAATTTCATTTATTTGTAACCTTTTTAGAAGTTAGTTTTCTCTACAAGGTATAATTTAGTAGGAATCAGAGACTTGACTGACTGAATAGCCTTTGTAGACTTGTTTTATAGACTTTGTGTGTGTTTTAAATATTCTTAATACAGTGTTCATTCACTAAGCAAAGGCAAACTATTTCATAAACTTTTCTTTTTTAGTATGTCATTGAAAGTGCCCGACAGAGACCTCCTAAAAGGAAATACCTATCTAGTGGAAGGTAAGAATACTTAGTTGATAAGTGACATATTAGATTCATTGACATAAGTACCACCATTTATTGCATTCTGAATAGACACTGTCCTAGAAATGTTACATTATAGGTACTTTGCATATATTAGAACTTTCTTAGTTGATGTTAGCTACCATATCCACTTCACCCCCAATCTTTGGGAAATTGAAAAAAAAGGGGGGAAAGTAACATTTATTTTACCATGATTATTATATTTATGTTATTTTGTATATTGTCTTTGTTAAATTTTAGAAAATCTGTATTTCAAAAACTTTATGACTTATATATTGAAGAATGTGAAAAAGAGCCTGAGGTTAAGGTAAGTATGTATTTTTTATATTGTTACGGCTTTTGAAATGTAGAGGAAGAGAGAAATTTGAAGGAGTTACATTTGAAGCAGATACTGATTATATTTTTGTGAGTGAGAGAACATCTTTTCCAGCCAGATTCTAGCCAGTGTTACAGCTTACCCAGAGCTGTGGCTACAAGGTGGAAATCACATCGTTAGGTAGGAGATGGGAAACAGTGTTTACTGAGTAACAGAGGTCTCTTTGGGAGGTCAGATGAAGCAAGGCCACTGTATATATTGGGTGGGGCAAAAGTAGGTTTACAGTTGCAAGTATGTGAGTTTATTCTTATATGGTATTATTATTTATGAATTGTATTATTTTCCATATAAACACCTGTAAACCCGTTTTTGCCCCATTTTGCATATTCTTTGTGTCTTTTCCCTCCTGAGAAATTATTTATAGACTGAAGATAGAGCAAATCATGGTGATTTGCACTGGAAAGTTAAAGCTATTATAGGGCATATAGAAAAACTAGTTGTGGTAATAAAAGGTGAATTTGGTCAAAAATTAGTTTATCTTCAGGTTAAATAATTTTATTTTTATTTAGCATAAAAATATGTGCAGTCGAAATGTAATAGAAATAGATTTTTTGTTTTTTATCATACCCTTAGGTTGTAAGGGTCTTAAAGGGCTCTATGAGCTTCTATTACCTGTCTTTAACTTAAAAATTAGTATCATTTTACCTTTTAGGTTGGAAAAAAGACAAAACAGTGAAATTCCATTAGTATCTAACCTTTGAAATCTTCACATTAGGAGAAAAATCATTGTTAAACTATACATAAGTCTGACAGTATGTTTTGTGTCAGTTTTATTGAGGTATAATTGGTGTATAATAAGTTTCACATTAATAATAAAGTAATAGCCCTGGCCAGTTTGGCTCAGCGGTTGGAGCGTCAGCCTGCGGTCCAGAGAGACCTGGGTTCGGTTCCCGCTAAGGGCATGTACCTTGGTTGCAATTTGTCCCCGGCCCTGGTTGGTTGTGCGGGAGGCAGCACCTCGATGTGTCCCTTTCACGTCGATGTTTCTCTCTCTCTTCTTCTCTCTCCCTCCCACTGTATCTGAACAAAAAATGGAAAAATGTCCTCGGGTGAGGATAAAAAACAAACAAAACAACAAAAAATAATAATAAAGTAATAAAAATAATATACATCTAGTTTCTAAAGAATAGATAAATTGAACTTACAGAAAATTACTTTAATTTCCCACTTCCTCTTAGCAATGAAATATATATATATTTTAATGTGTTTTTTTTTTAATTTTAATTTTTTGCAGATAGTGTGGGAGGGAGAGAGAGGAAGAGAGAGAGAGAGGGAGAAACATCGATGTGAAAGGGATACATCGAGTGGCTGCCACCCACACAACCCAACCAGGGCCGGGGACAAACTGCAACCAAGTACGTGCCCTTAGCGAACCCAGGTCTCTTGTACCACAGGCTGATGGTCTAACCGCTGAGCCAAACTGGCCAGGGCAAGATATTTTTGAGTTGAACATTCCGATGTTCTCTTAGTGGCTATAGTGTTTGTGACTCTTCCATATATATTCAGCATTGTAATGTGGAGTGAGCACCAACAGATTAATTCAGGTCTGTTTTTGTTAAGTCATAGTATTATTTGTTAAGATTATGCTAGATTATTTTCATGAGCTCTGCTTTTTTTTAAAGCAGAAATTAAGAAGAAATGTGAACTTGTTAGAGAAGCTTGTCATGCAAGAAACATTGTCATGTTTAGTGGTCAACCTGTACCCAGGAAACGAGGGATATTCCTTGATGCTCAGGGGAAAGAATGGATCAGGTAAGAACTTGCAGAGGGCAGCAGGCACTAAAGCCCTCTGCCTGCAGGAAGGTGCTGTCTTTCAGAAGTGTTTTCCGCCTGCTCAGTGTCTGTCCTTCAGATTAGTGATAACTTGATAGAGAAGACTGATTCCAAATTTCCCACTTATGACATTTTGTTAGAATATTGGAAATTATCTTTAATATGATTAACCTTCCTGAAATATGCATTTGAGGAGTGTTTTGATTGAAGACATGTCATTGTAAATTGTAAAAGATGTAATTGTTAAATGTCAAAATTTTCTTGACTGCTGTTGCCATTAATATTTTAAGATAGCATAAGATATTTTAAGATGTTTTTCTTTCATATTATACTGAGTTTGAAACTTTCAAAATTAAGCAGACTTAGTGTCTTTTGAGCAATTTACATATATTACCATTTTATTTTTATTAATGTGAATATGAGAGTAGAGTTTTAAAATACAAATAATCTTAGATTTCACTAAAGAGCCATCAGAAAATTTGATACGATGATACTTTGAATTCTACAAGGAACTCCTTGGTTAATTTTTTCTTGTGTAGATAATTGTAAAATGGTAAGCCAAGAGAATTTTGTTCTATAAATGACCGTTTTTCAGATTAGGTGTCAAATTATTGTTGATTTCCAGATAAGAGTCTTCAAGGAATTTTCAGTTACCAAACGCTGGGATTTTGTCATATTCTGATTATCGTGCTGCTGGCTATGATTGTATTGTGATTGTTATGCTAGATGTTTCTCCCTGAAATGTTAGGCAGTTTTCTCCTTTTTGTCTTATAATTCTGTACAATTTAGCAATATGGAAAGTGATTCACTTAGAAGCTATGCATAAAGAAGGACTTTAGGAAAGCCTTTTGGTTTTATTCTCTTTATTTTTTGAAGTCATTTACATTATGTACCTAAACTTTTCTGTGAGCCTCATAATTTTCAGAAACATTTTTTTATTTAAGATTCTGAGACCATTCGACTGCCTTATGAAGAAGGGGAATTGCTTGAATACTTGGATGCAGAAGAATTGCCTCCTATCTTGGTTGATCTCCTAGAAAAATCTCAGGTACAAATATTTTATTTTAAAAATGTCCTTAGATTTGTCAACTATATGTTGTTTTGTAATAAAGGATATTTGTTTGTATTCTCAGCAGTGCTTAGAACATGAAATGAAACATTATCAGTAACTATATGAAAATTGGTGGGATGTTTCTCCTTTAGGCTACACTCAAATGTGTAGATTTAGTTGGCTTTTCTAAAATTACTATGAAAGCCCGGCTGGTGTGGCTCAGTGGTTGAGCATCGACCCTGCACCAAGAGGTTGCCAGTTCAATTCCTGGTCAGGGCACATGCCCAGGTTGTGGACCTGCTCCTCAGTGAGGGGCATGCAGGAGGCGGCCAGTCGATGTTCTCTCTCTCATCGATGTTCCTATCTCCCTCTCCCTCTCTCTCTAGGGGTCAATGAAGAAAATAAATTAAAAACATAAATAAATAAAATTACTATGAAAATTAGCTCATCTACTGGAAATCTCCCTTTAGCTACAATAAGAAATTATGGAAAAAAACTACTTACTCCCTTGGCTTCACCCCAGTCATACTGTGTTGTTTACTGAGGAAAAAGAAGCCATCAGAGGAGTGCTGGATGTTTTCCTTCTAGGGCTCGTTTACCAGCATCCCCACATCTCTGTCCACACTTTCTTCCTGTTAAAATGGGTGAAGTAAGCTGTTCCTAAGGCATCTTGTCTTCTTTTCAGGATCCTCCTCCATTTCAATGACTTGCTACTATAACCTCCCTTTCTTCTGTTTTCTTCCCTCTTTTAATAAAAAAGACAGCATGCTGTACTGTCTCTTAACTTAAAAAAGCCTTTTCTGTTTGCATCTGAATTGGTCTCTTTGCAAAGGTCAGTGCAAATGACTACTTCTTCCTTGAAATAACATTTTGGCTTCTGAGACATACAAAGTGGCTTTCTTCTTTTCTCTCTTAAGCCTCAGTCATGTTTGCTGTCATCTCCTTCACCTGTAAATATGTCAGGTTCAGGGTTTAGTCCTGGTCACTCTGTTCTTCGTGACACTCTCTCCTTGGATGGTCTCAACCAGCTTCATGAGATTTAAAATGACATTTAATTTCTTGTTTCTCTGTCACAGTGACCATTTCAAACACATATTTACTGGGATATATAATAGGTTCTTTAACTTAACATGACAAAACAGAACTTTTTATATTATCTCCCAAATCAGTTCTATTATCAGTCTCTTTTGAACCTAAAGTATGACCCTGTCTTACCTTTAACACTCAGTTCATGAGCAATATCACCTGTATCTTTAAAGTATATGGTTATGACCTGCTGTAGTTACTTTGCTGAACTTCTTGCTTTTGTTCTAGAACCCCAGACAAATTTTTCCACAGATTAAGCTTAGAAAACAAAAACAAAACGGGGTCTGTGCTTAAAGTTCCTTTTTTGTTGTTGTTTTTTATCCTCACCCAAGAACATTTTCCCCTTTTTGTTCAGATAGAGTGGGAGGGAGGGAGAGAGAGAGAGAAACACCAATGTGAAAGGGACACATCGAGTGGTTGTCACCCGCACAACCCAACCAGGGCTGGGGACAAACTGCAACTGAGGTACATGCCCTTAGCGGGAACCAAACCCGAGTCTCTCAGGACTGCAGGCCGGCGCTCTAACCGCTGAGCCAAACCAGCCAAGGCTGTGCTTAAAGTTGTTGAGTGTCCTCTCGGTGCACAGACTCCGTCACCCTGTTTGTTTTCACTTCCTGATTCTCATCCCTGCTCACTACAGCTCAGCCATTTGTGCCTTCTTTCCAAACTAAGACCCACCAAGGTTGTTCGTCTGCATTCTTTCTGCCTGGAGTGATCTATTCCGTACATCTGGCTCTGTTGCCATTCAGGTCTCAGCTGAAACATCACTTCCTCAGCACACAATCTAAATTAGCCCCTTCCTGTTTTTATTTTCTTTGTAGGATTCATCACTATCTAAACATTATTTTGTTTGTGTGTTTCTTTACATGTTATTACCTGTCTTCCCACCTTGAGAACAAGGCTTGTTTTACCCCACTATATCCTTAAAGCTTTTCGGATAGTCCTACTGTGGTAGCTCAATCAATACTTGTTAAAAACATGTGCATGGTGACTGGTAGCATGGAGGTCACAGTACCCATTTAAATTCAGAATGGCTGAAAAAACTGAGTGACTGGCAAGTGATAATTAGGAAGACTTAAGCCATAAAGGTTCTTACGTTTGAACTTAGAAAAAGTACTTTCTAGAAAACAATATTTTTAACAGAAGATTATTTTAATTTATAGTAGCTTTCTCCCTTTTATTAATAAAGACTGTCTTCTGGAAATTTTAACAGACCAGATAGTAGCAGTTGTGTCCATAAGCTAAAACTCTGACAGGGTTGCTTGACAATTAATGACTGACAAAACTAGCAAAGTATAACTCAGGCAATGAAGAACAGCAATTCCAATGATCTATAACATAAAACATAAATGCCAAAAGTCCGTTTATAACTAGGAATCATTTTAAACTGCTTCTTGAGTCAAATGGATGAACAGGAAAGCGTTCCCTTTAAAGGGTTTATGTATGTAGTGGTGAATTCGCCAAAGAAATCTGTTGAGAGTGTCTGGATGGCCGGAAACATGGCATGAGAGTGTAAAGACCCTGGAACATGCAGTATAAACGCATTGACCTGGGCTTTTAAAAAATGACATTTCATTTCAATATTTTCACTTAAAACAGGTTAATATTTTTCATTGTGGATGTGTCATAGCAGAAATACGGGACTATAGGCAGTCCAGTAATATGAAATCTCCAGGTTACCAAAGTAAGCACATTCTCTTACGTCCAACAATGCAGGTAAGGAATGTTTCAGAAGTATCACTTAGATTTTATTTGGAGTTTATTAAATGTCTTCATATGTTTGTATGCCTATCCTTAATGTGTTTTTAAATTTTTTATTTTTTCTAGACTTTAGTCTGTGATGTACACTCAATAACAAGTGATAACCATAAATGGACCCAGGTTAGTTTTGTTGTTTTGTTTTTAATGTTTTTATTGATTTTCTTAGAGGGATAGAAACATTGATGTGAGAGAAACATCAATCAGCTGCCTCTTGCCTACTGGGGATCGAGCCTGCAACCTGGGCATGTGCCCTGATCAGGAATCAAACCAGAACCTCTCAGACCATGGGATGACGCTCAATCCACTGAGCCATACCGGCCAGGCAGTTGTGTTCTTTAATCCCAGACAGGCAAAATATAGGTTAAGTCAACACATCATCAAGTTAAGCAGAATATACTTTCTGCTCATAATTTTACTCATGTGTCATGTCTGGGATTTCTTTATGAGCTTTAGAAGTTAAGGGTGTCTGTATATTCAGTAATCCCTCAAGGAACTGAAATAGTTCAGTCCTATTTGCTTTAGGACATGGTGATACAGGGACAGGTTGGCCTGATCTGCCCATTATGAAAGAGCGGTATTGTGTGTATACCATGGGTACAAATAGATAAGATTTTCTGCCGAGGGTTCTGAAGCAGGCCTAGCTTGTCTTGACCGTTCATTGCGGGGGAACCTTCCTCCTGAGGAGAGCCAGGGAGAGAGTTACTGAGCCAGAGAACATGTCAGTACTTAGAGTTACTTCATCTGTGAAGTATGATTATAAAGTAAGATTCCTTTTGTCAGTAACTATCAAGTATTATGTTCTAGTTTTGGGCTGTGATCTTTTTATTTAAAAGAATGTTAAAAGCTGTTAGATGAGTATTCAAAACAAACTCATTGGTCACCATTGGAGGTGGTTAGGGCGGCAGTTTCTTCCTCTGAAAAGAAAGTGGCAGACGAGAGCATTTGTTCTGTTTTTCTGTATGAACTGTGTATTGATGCCCAATAGTGACTAGAGCAAATTCTTCAGAAAAATGTCAGCTAACAGGTACAAAAGAAATGATAGACTTGAAAGTATCAGCACTTGGAAATCTTAATTAATGAATTTAGACAGCTGATATTTTTAGATTTGAAAAACCATCAGATGATAGGTTCATGGGAATTTATGGTGAAGAGATCTGGCTGAACCCCTGGTCTGAGGTGGGATGGTCACCGTGTCACCTCCCGGTATAATGCTTGAGGAGACAACAGCACCAATGAATGCTGTTTAAAAATAGACCCTGAATCAGATCTCACCTCCACATCTAATGGGAGAATTCAGGGAATAAAACTATTAAATGACAAGATGGGGAAGGAACCAGCCAGATTCAGTTTGAAGTGATAGGAGGAAGCACGTGGTCATATCCAACAAATTAATTGCTTGAGAAAAGAAAACAGGTTATCATTACAGTATATAAGAAAGATGTTTGAGAGAAAAACCAAATTCAATTACTAAGTCTTGTTTGAGTTCAGATTCAGACAAACCAACTAAAACTGTACTCTTGGAATAATGGAAATAATATAGACTGGATATGAGAAGTTCTTACCAGTTAGTAGTCATGCTAAAGTATTTTCAAGTGAAATACAGTGTCAGAGATAGAAGTATTTTAAATTACTACAGCAATAAATAAATAAGAGGGGCATGCAGGTAAATGAAATTGGGTGTTGGTACATGAATTTCATTACACTTCTGCTTTTGTGTATTTTTGAAAAGTTTCATAATCAAATGTTGAATGGAACTAAGCAAGCATGTTTTTTTTTTTTGCAAAAAATTTTATTCTACAATATTGAATGACTCGTTTAATTGTTAAAAATTTAGAGTTATTAAAACACTTAAGAGATGAAACGAAAAAAATAGGATTCGGTAAAGTTATATGATACCAGTAAAAAGCCTTTGTATTCTGTGGAACTGGGTAGGTGGGGTTTTGCACAGTATTAGTGTAGCCATTTTCATCATGACGAAATGAAGCTGAGTATAGAAGGGGGCCATCGTGTCACAGTCACTGAAAATGCTGTGTCCACCTTGATTGTCCCATGTGCCTTGTAGAAGAGGGTTCTGTCTGCCTCGTTCACTGCTTCATCCCCAACTCCTAGAACAACTCGTGCATGTAGGAGCTCAGTGAATGCTTCCTGGATTAGGCAATAGGCATCCTTCACTCTGACCATTCTGTGTGCTGTGCTGATTACTGAATTCCCATTAGTCGTTTCATTATGCTGTCAGGTTCCTAGAGTTCACCCTCTGAATTGGAACTTGCAGTAGGATATTTTACTATAGACCTTAGCAGAGGTTCAGGGAATAGTTCTAGATTAAGTGATATGTTCGATTTGAAAATATTAAGTTTGGTACTGACATGTGCTCTTACATTTCAGGAAGACAAACTTTTGCTTGAGAGCCAGCTGATCCTAGCTACGACTGAACCACTGTGTCTCGACCCTTCTATAGCTGTGACATGCACTGCGAACAGACTGCTCTACAACAAGCAGAAGATGAACACGCGCCCAATGAAACGGTAATCACCCTGTGAGACATGAACCAGAAGGTGCTCCTAGACAGGCAACTCTAAATGTTGTTCTTTTTGGTACCTTTTCCCTCTCAAAGGATGTAAGCACTCTTAAGGAGGATTTTTAATTGCCTGGAATTATTTTCTTGGTATATTGTAGTTTTTAATACTCTCTAGTTTGTATTGAACCAATGTGTCCTTTCGAAGAATGAACTTTCTAAGTTGAGAGCCTGTTCGCTGAAAAGAGAGATCAGTGTAAACAGAAGGATGGTTCTTTACTACTTCCTCGTGTCCAGTGACCAGTTTAAACATTGCTGATACTACTGTAAAGAAACAATAAATTATTTTGAGATTTAGGAAAATGACAATTTTAGAAGTTAGTTTATAACTAAATGCCTTTTTATAACAGGGTCATTTGTCTTTAACTGTTTTTTATCTCTTCTACTTAATAAAATAAAAGAATGCCTATAAGTTTGGACTGCAGTTACAGTTGGCTGATTGTTAAGTTCTCTTTACGTGATTATTTGAGTTGCCCATTTTGGATCTTGAAGTTTGAAGGGGCTTAAAACACCAATGCATTTTGTATAGCCTTGATTTACTATGGAAAAAAGAATGTATTCTGAGGAAAAGGTACGTCTTTGTAAATAGTGGAATAAAGCCGTATTGATCTATCAGGAGTCCTGAAAGGTCTCCTGTATCTGCGTCCACATCTCTTCATGGGCAGTGCCACCACCTTAGCCCAGGGCACGCCGTCGTCTTCGTCTTGCTTCTGTGATCAGCTCCTGCCTGGTGGGTCTTTCTGCCTTCACCTGTCTCCCTCGTGGCCTCTGCCACGTGATCACACCAGAGCAGTCTTAAAACAGCCAAGCAGATGGTGCACCACTTGTCTAAATTTCCCGAAAGCGACTTCATGCTAAATTTCAGCACCTTTTCATTGATCTGTAAGGCCTTGTTTTCTGACCTCACCTCCTACTACCTGGACCTTGGTGCTCTAACCACACTTGCCTTTTCTGTTTTTAAAACAAAATAAGTTTATTTCTACTTCAGCACTTTTTAAAATTCTTCTTTCTGCTTCAGATACTCATTCCCTGATCTTTTCATAGCTGGTTCCTTCTTGTCGTCCGTGTCCCCGTCACTCACCATTTCTTCAGGGTCCCCTTCCCCAGTGCTGTCCTGTCACCTGCTGCTCGTCTCTGCCCCTGCTCGTCGCCGTCGGGACGGCCTGTGGGCTGATCCAGCGTCTGCTCTGCACTGACTGTCAGCGCCTTGGCCGCAGGAATTCTGTGTCTCGTCCACTTTCATTTCACCAGGGCCCAGGACATGGCACGAGGTGGTGTTCTGCAGACTTGTGATGTCGTCATACTGAGTGCTCACGTAGTTAAACCCACATGCACTCTGAATTTGTTCTATTAGTTTTATTAATTTCAAACCTTTTAATATCTTAGGTGTTTTAAGAGGTGTTCCAGGTCCTCTCTGAACAGACAGCAGGATCTGTCTCATTGCCCACCTCCTCCTCAGCTAAAGTTACTGGATTTCTTACAAAAAAGAAAGGAGAGAAAAGCAGGTCAGCATTATGACCTCAAAATTTCTAAAGCGGGAAATGTAAGTATACATTTTTTAAATGAAAATTATTATTATGCTAAGAGCTTTGCCTTGTTTTGAATTTTCAGTATATTTATGATATTTTTATTTCTCAGTGTGTGGACATGTGGAAACGCAGCCCCTGTAATCTGACCGTGCCTTCTGAAGTGGACGTGAGTCACTCACCTACTTTCATACAAGGTTCCAAGGTTTCGCTAATAGTAGTTATACTCTGGACAAAGAAGCTTATTTAAAAATTAAAAAAAAATAATGAATTGTTTTTAAATCAGTTGCTCAGTTTTAGAAGCTACATGATATTTTTCTTTCACATTTACTTGTGTAATAAGACTGTAACTCCTTAATATAGGTCTATATATAGAGCAGGAATAATAACCAAAGAATTTTGAAGTATGGGAAAAGATGGTACATATTATATAATATGCACAAAATGCCTCTTTTTCATATTTTATCATAATTATTTTTTCTCAAACACTGTAAATTTAAAAATTAATAATATTGGAGCAGTAGCCAAGATGGAGGAACCTTGGGTGTGGTGTTTTTGCTGATCCATAATATAGATGATCAGAGTCAGGAGGGGGATCTTACGATGAATGGTCCCTAGTTCTTTTATTTTCTTATTTCCCCTGCATTTCTTTTTATTTATTCAACTCTTTATAATTGGTTATTTTAACTAACCAATTTGATCTTTGCTCTTCTGCATCTTTTCCAGGCTAACACGTGTACTATTCTTATTGTCGGTGATTAAAAAAAAAAATTACTTAAAGCACAAAGCCAAAATAATCAGAAATAGGCTGCATACACAACTCAAGAGAGGAAGGCACATTATCTTTTGTGCTTGCACCTCTAGGAATGCAGCCTGAGAAGATATTTAGAATCAATACCAAAGGGTGGAATTCAGCTTTAGATGGCAGGCTGGGTATCTAAAGCCCTGTTCCCCAAACTAGAATGTATGTGGGATACCTGGACTGCTTGCAGGTCCCAGCTCAGCAAGTTTGGGCTCACGCCTGGGACACTGCAGTGCTGACAGGTCTCAGGTGGTGTGCTGAGGTCCACTAACCACACGTTTAGTTGCAAAGCCCTAATACAAAGTTTCTCGGTCTGACTTGATCAAAAGAAACATCTAGAATACCAGTTAAACATACAGATTTCAAGCTTCTAGGATAGGATTAAAACTAAAACAGAATGATGTATTTTCAACACCTAATTACTGAGTCAGGTCTCCAGGATGGGGACAAGGAAATCAGAATTTTTACCAGATGCCCAGGTGAATCTAAGGTGCACTGAAGATCACCCTTCCCCGAAAGAAGAGGGCACCTGATTTGCACAGACTAGTGGGAGATACACAGTGGCCCAAGTCTGACCAAGAATTGGAAAAAGTTCACACAGATTTGATCAACTTTGACTTCCATCGTCTCCTTCCAGTTTTGTCTCCACTGTCACATGACAACTTCTGTTTCATTAAAAACCCAGCCGACGAGAAAGATCCTGGTCCTGGTCACCCTCTGACACTGGTTTTCCTGAAAGACAAGTGTGGTATCAATTCATGGAATAAAAAGGAGAGGTGCTGTCAAAGAAAGCACTGTGTTTATTACATTTATTTAGTGGCAAATAGATTTTAATTTTATTTTAAAAACCAATTGGTTTAATTGAATATATCAGGAGAGTTTTTGAATGCTTAAGCATAACTAGTTGGTAATATTAGTGATTCAGGAATTCTTGTACTAAAAAGTACATTGTGTTAAGTTTTTTAGATTCTTATTTTTGATGATAATACTGATTCCATTGTATCTGTGTCTCTTGATCTGATTACCCAGGTGGAGAAATACGCTAAAGTGGAAAAGTCCATCAAATCTGATGACTCACAGCCAACAGTCTGGCCAGCCCATGTAAGTAACCATTAGTCTTCATTTCTAAGGTTTCTGATCTGGGATCTGAATTAATTAGACATGAAGTACAGTTGCCTTTAGTTTGTGAACTTATCTTTATTGTTGAACGTATTACAGACATCCCCCATATTTGCCCCCATTGACCCCCTCCTCCCCACTCCCACCCCTTTCTTGCCTCCCCCACACTACTGGTTATATCGTGTATGCATATAACTCCTTTGGATTATTCCCACCTCTACCCCATCCCCGCCCCCTACCCTTTGAGCTTCGTCAGTCTAACAACCAATTTGTACTTCTGATCTGTTCACCTTTTTCACCCATTACCTCAACCCCCCTCCCATCTGGCGACAGCAAAAAGTTCTTTGTATCTATGAGTTTGTTTCTGTGCATTCATTTGGTTTGTAGATTCAGTTGTTGATAGGTATGTATTACCATTTTATTTATTGTTCATATTTTTTATTTTCTTCAAAAAGACCCGTCAACTTTTCACATAATACTCGTTTGGTGGTGATGAACTCCTTTAGCTTTTTCTTGTCTGGGGCACTCTTTATATGGCCATCGATTCTAAATGATAACTTTGCAGGATAGAGTCATCTTGGTTATTTATAGATCCTTGCTCTTTATCGCTTTGAATATCTCTTGCCACTCTCTGCACAGTTTCTTGTGGAAAATTGGCTGACAGTATTATGGAAGCTCCTTTGCAGGTAACTAACTGCTTTTCTCTTGCTGCTTTTAAGATTCTCTCTTTGTCTTTAACCTTTGACATTTTGATGATGATGTGTCTTGGTGTGGGCCTCTTGGGGTTCATCTTGTTTGAGGCTCTCTGTGCTTCCTGGACTTGTATGTCTGTTTCCTTCACCAAGTTAGGGAAGATTTCTGTCATTTTTTTTTCAAATAGGTTTTTAATTTCTTGTTCTCTCTCTTCTCCTTCTGGCACCCCCAGGATGTGACTGTTGCTACACTTGAAGTTGTCCCAGAGGCTCCTTACACTATCCTCATTTTTTTGGATTCTTTTTTCTTTTTGCTGTTCTGATTGGATGGTTTTTGCTTCTTTATATTCCAAATCGGTGGTTTGCTTCTTGGCTTCACCTACTTTACTGTTGATTCCATATAAATTATTCTTTATTTTAGTTGGTGAATCCTTTATTTCTGACTGGTCATTTCATGTTTTTCAAACTCTAAGTTCATTGATTGTCCTTATAACCAGTGTTTTGAACTCTGCATCTGATTTATTGCTTATCTCCATTTTGTTTAGTTCTTTTCATAGAGTTTTGTTCTGTTCTTTCATTTGGGACATGTTTCTTTGTCTCCTCATTTTAGCTGCTTCCCTGTGATTGTTTCTACGTATTAGGTAGAATTGCTATGTCTCCTAGGCTTCTTAGGGTGGCTTGTTGTAGTAGGTGTCCTGTAGGGTCCGGTGGCACAACCTCCCTGATCACCCAGCTGGGCCCTGGAGGTGCACCCCTAGTACTTCTTGTGTGGACTTTACACCTTTTACTTGTAATTGAGTCTGAATTGCTGTTGGCATGTCAATGGGAGGGATTTACTCAGACTGCTCAGTGCCCACTGACCTCTGACTCCCTTGGAGGATCAGCTGTGCAGGGCCCACCACACAGAGCAAGACTTACTTCAGCAGGGCTCTGGTACCCACCGAGTCCACTCACTGAGTGTGTCACTTGTGGAGGTGGTTGGGTGGTGGTGCTTCGACGTGGTCTGAAGCTGTCCACTGGGTGTGCTGGCTCTGGGGCAAGGTCAGCCACTGCCTGTGTTCTACCTGGGGCCATCTTGATGTGGGTGTGGGACCAGCCCGTCCGCCTCCACCCCTTATGCCCATCTCCATATCACGTGGCTGCTGCTTTTCTTTTTTTACTATTTTCTCTTTGTAGATGTTAGAGAGAGGGAAGGGGGAGAGAGAGAGAGACATGGATGAGAGAGAACATCAACTGGCTGCCTCATGCAGGTCCCCCACTGGGGATCAGGCCCACAACCTGGGCATGTGACCTGACCAGGAATCGAACTGGCCACCCCTTAGTGCATGGGTCAATGTTCAACCACTGAGCCACACCAGCCGTGCTTGGTTTCTTCAATTTCGTAGTTGGAAGACTTCCATTCCGCTTGATGTCAGGCGGTTCTGAAGGGTGCTTGTTCTGTGGTTTAGTTGTGATTTTGATGTGGTTGTGGTTGGAGGCGAGGACTGTGGTTACCTATGCCGCCATCTTGACTGGAGGCTGTCTGATCTTTTTTTCAAGGACTTTCTGGGAATTCATCTAATTAAGAGAAGGAGCAACTATTTAGTTTTGTTTTTTATAAAGTTTGGCTTCCAGTTTAAAAGGCAATTTTAATGCATAAGTCCATTTTTACTTTTGCTTTGGTTACATATTGGTAGTTCTGATTTATCTTGCTTCAATTTAGTAAGTAGGAAGTTATTTTAAGAATGACTCTTACAAGAAATGCTCTGTTGTAGGTTTCCCTATTTGCGATAATAACTTCTTAAAGGAAGAAGTAGGCATAATATATTAAATAAGATGAATCTAGAAGTTAAATAAGATTTTTTGTATGTGCAATAGCAGAAAGACTAATGACAAATAGAAATAGATATGCCTTTGAAAGTTTTATTTTTCTTAATATTTAATATACTGAATACCCAGTAGAACTCATTCCCAAGTGCTATGTAAACAGAATCATGAGCCTTGTTCTCTTCTGCAATCTTATTCAGGTTTATCAGCCTACGTGCCATGTGTCTTCCTAATGCCAGATGTGTTTGTATGTCATTCACACCTGATTTTTGTTCATTCTGATTGTGCTCACTGAGAACATACTTATCTAGAGTGTAGGAAAGAGATGTAAAACCGAAAGAAAGGTTTAAAGAGTATCTGAGCCAGAGCTGACGGCCAGACCAAGAAGCAAAATCTTAAAGAACTGAGAAAACGTTCTAAGGAATAATAGTTCTACAGTGTATTTTATATGTTAACACTGCACACAGTTCACAGAGGTACACTGGTGAAAGATGAGGGGGACGTGGGGTTGTCTCACCCTGGTACTGGGGTGTTTATCTCTGGAGGTCTGGAGGAAGTCATTCTGACATTTTAAGTGTGTTATTCTACATGCACAAAAACAACAGATAAGGTTTGCTTAAGGTCAAGGTTAATCTGCCGTGGGCATTGGGACATGACTTTCAGTACAGTGTGCTCAGTCAGGAGTGTTAGGATGAGAACGTCCCATGTTACTGAGTCTGTGAGGTCTCCAGGTGCCCCCTTTTGTTCATACTGGATGCTCTGTCTTCTTCAGGATTTAAAAGATGATTATGTCTTTGAGTGTGAAGCTGGCAGTCAGAAAACAAAGCTGACCATTTTACAGTCACTTGGTGACCCCCTTTACTATGGTAAAATTCAGCCATGTAAAGAAGACGAAGAAACTGACAGCCAGATGTCTCCATCTCCGTGAGTTCTGCTAAATACATATTGACAAAATCAGTTTTCAGAGTTTGTTTAGCAACTACTTATAAACTAATTGAATAAAACTTTCTTTTGGGGATTCATTTGTAACTTAACTACTTCCATTAGATCTGGCAGTGGCCCTAAGTAAACTTCCATAGTAGTTACCATGTTGTCTAAGAATTTAAAACAACATAACTTTTTAAAAAACCTATGATATAATTATATTTGCTGTGATATCTTGGTTAGTGTGCTTATGTGTTGCACTTACTGACTTTGACCTCTGAGCGTGAACGGTTTCCAGGCAGACTTTGTTCAGAAGAGAAGCAAGCTCATTGGCAGTGTTGGAGCTGTTAGCGGTGCAGCATTTCAGCTGTGCTTGAGAGCAGACTCCGTGCTCAATGTGGTCACTGGCTCTAGGATGCACATAGTTGATTTTTCTGTATTTATGAACTATGTATGTTTAGTACAAGTTACCAGTATTTAGGTTTGTGTTTTAATTAAGTTGATGTTTTGAAACGGAAAAAAAAAAAAGAGCTCAGCAGAAAAAAGCAGGGACTAGGTCTATGTTACACCATTTATAAAGCCTTTACTTATACAAAATACTAATGGAAACTGCATTAGAAAAGTGGATTTTGCCCTGGCCAGTTTGGCTCAGCAATTAGAGCATTGGCCCGAGGACCAGAGAAAGATGGATTTTAAAGAACCTCATTGATACCTAAGTAAAAGTCGATGGGAGGGAACATAGCAGGCAGGGCACCCTCAGCTAATTATTTTACATTAGCAATTTCTGTTGTATAATAAGTAGAAAGATTCAGTGTTTTGATTACCTATATTTTTAAAAATCTTCCCCTTAAAGATATACATTGGTCATTTTAAGTAAATGTATTAACTTTTTTTAAACAAAAGGGAGTAACATATATGCTCATTTTTAAAAATCAGAAAGCCAACTGTTGACAAGAAGAAAAGAGAATTATCTGCATTTACCTCAGGGAGCCACTGCAAAAATGCTGCATGGTTTATTATCTTTCAGTTATTTTCCATATTCATAAATTACTTGATTTAATAACTATGAAGTTCAAGTTTGAGCCACATTAACCAGGTGTTTTTCTTTTTTTACATTTTATATTTCAGCTCCTCCACAGATGATCATTCAAATTGGTAATTAAAAAAGAAACAAACTCACTATTTTAATCTGTTAAGAAATCATGTAAATGTCAAACTTTTTAAAGACTTGGTAAAAACATGTGATCTGAATTGGTGATAAACTCTCTTCTTTGTCTGAAGTATATTCTGTGGCCCTGCTCTGCAGACTAGTGACTTCCAGAGTCAAAGGTTAACATGCAGGAAGGCCTTGCACATGCTCACGGGGGTTTTGCTGTCGGGCAGGCCCTTGCAGTGTAGAGCACTGGTGATGTTCAGCCCAGATTTTGTTTTGTGCCAAAGCAAATCTCCCTTAAGTCAAAGCAGCCAAATCACTCACAGTGTTATTTTACTGCAGAATTTTGTCACTGCTTCACAACTTTAAATGTACCTTTAATTTTTTTCATATCTTGGTAGATTTTAATTTATAAAATTATTGTCAATAAAATATGGAAGCCTTCGAAAGTAATCCCAGGGCTAATGCACCTTTTATCTAATACATTTCTTTCTTTTTTAAACATTTTAGGTTCATTATTGGATCAAAGACTGATGCTGAAAGGTAAAAATTGTAGCATCTTTATTTTTGATCTGGCTAGATCTGAAAAACCTTCCCTCTTGGAGGATAGAGAGTACTTTTCTAGGAATCAAGAGTTTGATTTCAGTTATCCCATGGGTATTACTAGGATTTTGAAAAATAGAATTAGGAAAATAACAATTAAAAGAATAATGTTTGAAATACAGTGTTACTTCTTTAAATAGGAAAACAGACATCTGTGGTAGGCAAGGAAGATGCTTTCTAGGTAGCACTTTACTCGGAATGTTAAGCAAAAGTGCTAATTTTTTTGGCTGCTTAATGGCTTAATAATCCCTGTAACTTCTGTATTTGAAATAAGATACTGAAAGTATAGCTTAAGATTGTTAACAAGTACAAAATTTTTTAAGCATTAACTTGTCATTGAAGTGATTAGGGGGTGGGAGTGGGGATGAGGGGGTCCATGGGAGAAAAAGGGGGCGACATCTGTAATACTTTTCAACGACAGAAAAAAGAAAAGATGAGAAGAGTATACTTTTAACAAAAAGGCAAATTGTCCGTTTTCAATTTTTGTATTAATTTGATGGAACTTTTTAGTTGACATTGATTTTCTATTACAATAAATTTATGCTTAAAAGAGTTAACTGCTTCTTGTTTTTCCTAATATTTCAGGGTAGTCAGTCAGTACCAGGAGCTGGTGCAGAGTGAAGCCAAGTGCCCGGTCAGGATGTCACACAGCTCCAGCGGCCCGGCCAGCCTGGGCCAGCCTTCCCCAGGGAAAGACACGGAAGTGTGTTGTTGGACTTTCTTTTGTGCCAAACATTGTTTGTATTGTCAGTTTTTTTGTGCATAATTGTTTCTCAGGAAATCTGAGATATGTTAAGGGCTATGTTTTGAGGGATGGAAGTATTGTTTAGTTTTGCTTTTTTTTTTTCCTTTATTGATTTTAGAGAGAAAGGGATGGGGAGAGAGAGAGAGAGAAATACCGATGAGAGAGAACATAAATCGGCCGCCTCCTGCACGTCCCCCACTGGGGATCTGGCCTACAAACCTAGCATGTGTCCTGACCTGGAATCGAACCAGCAGCCTCTTGGTGCAGGGTCCACGCTCAACCACTGAACCATACCAGCTGGACTTGATTTTGCTTTTAACTTTATTTAACTTTTTCTAATGGGTATTTTCAAATATACACAGAGGTAGAACAAAAAGTGTAATGAACACCTGTGTATAGGAATCACCTAGTTTCAACAGTTACTACTTTGTTGGAAAAGATTAAGGATGAAGCTTTGTCTCCATCTTATCCCCTTGCCCCTCTCATGCACTTTCTCCCCGCCCTGTTACTCAGAATTTGTTCCTTCATTGTTTGCATACGCTCAGTTACTTCATGGATCTGCTTATTTGAAATTATATTCTTCTGTAACGTCTGTAATGTGCAGTCTATAACCACTGAGAGTACTTTGCACTTTTAAATTGCATTTTTCTCTGGGCGTTTCAGTGGTATTAATTTATGAGATACTGATTTAACTTTAAGTCTAACAAGTATACTTGATGTCATTGTTCCTCAGCAGTCTGAGACCGTGTCCGTTCAGTCTTCAATACTGGGGAAAGGAGTAAAACATCGGCCTCCACCCATTAAACTTCCTTCAAGCTCAGGAACTAGTTCCTCAGGTATTCCATTCCTTAGCCTTCTGTAATCTAGCATAAGAAGCATCACACGGGCACAACTTGTTTTTAAAATCTTAACTCATCTTCATTCTCACAGAACGTGAATTACAGGAATTAACTTTGTGTTCCAGGGAACTGTTTCACGCCGCAGCAGGCCAGCAGCTTTCTCAGATCTCCCACTCCTCCGCCTGCGTCCAAGCCTCCGAGTCTTTCTCGGAAGTCGTCTGTGGATCTCAGTCAAGTCAGCATGCTTTCTCCAGCAGCCCTGTCACCTGCCGGCTCGTCACAGAGTGAGTCCTGATTTTAGTTCTCAGAGTAGCCCTTCGGAAGCTTTACGTGAGTGTTGCTGGGAGAGCTGTGTTTACCAATGAAATAGTGAAATCTAATGGACTGTGTACCCCAGATGTGTAAGTCTTGAGAAACTGTAGGCAGATCTCTTGTTGACTGTATGTATTATATGTCTAATGTAATTGTATTCGTTTTTCTGTATTTATGTATGCACTTTGTGTATACCTTTATTATAGACTTAAAACCTCATCTTCTTTTTAAAAATCTGGTAGTTAGAATTGGCAGTGAGATTCCAAAATTTTTTATTTCAGTGTTGTGCCCTGGGATCATTTTACATTTTATGTAAACTATACAGCTGATATATATATATATATATATAAAAAAAATGTCATAAGAGTTCTTGTTGCAGTCCTATCTTTGTTTTTTAAGAAGCCAATTTATTTCCAAGGTGGTGATACAATAAACTGAAAGCCAATTTTTCAAAAAACACTCCTACACTCTTATAAATGGTTATCAGTTACTAAAACGTGGTGATGGTCATAAAGCATTATTCTGAAGATACTAAAATGTAATTTTTAGTACTGAATACCTTTTTAAATTTTTTTTCTATTTTTTAATTTTTTTTAAACCATTAAGAGTTATACAAGAATTCTTCTAGCATTAGTTTGGGAGAATTTCTTCAAAATCATAAATAGCAGATATTTTGGTACCAGTTTGCAAAAAAGCATTCCAGTTTTTTAGATTTTTTTATAGGTAATAAAGTATGCTGAAAGTTTAGTACACTGCACAGTGATAGGGTAGTCTTTGCATTAGATTAAACATCTTCATCTTGATAGCTCAAAAGGTGTAATTTTTCTGCCTTCTTGTTTTGCACAAAGAAAAAATTATAAATTTCCTGAACGTCTTATTCACACTTCTCATGTTGTGGGTATGAATCGTGTTAGTCTGCACACAGTTGTTACTGTAAGTCAGGTGGAGCGGCAGCCTCTGGACATTCACATTTCTTTCCTTTCTTTCTGCAGGACATGAAAGCTAAAAAAGAAAACACCTCGAGAGCTTTGGTTTTATATTTTTGGTTTTTGTTTTTGTTTTTTGTTTTTTGTTTTTTTTTTTCGTAAAATGTTGATAAACTGTGCATACTTCATTCACAACAGATTTTCTATACATTCTACATTTAAACAGAGGAACACAGTTACTGTTAAAGATGCAGTATTATCTATCAAATATTTTCTCTATTGTGTCTTATAAATTTTTTGTCAGGGTGAACTTGATGTGTCAGGAATTGAACATGTATATTTAGGTGCCAAATATGACTGTGAAGCATGTGTAATCTATTAAATACGTTCAGAGTTTATCTCAGACTGTGACAGAAAACAAGCAGTGTTTTTAAATGAAGTCCTCAATCAGTGAAATCGTTAGTAACGAAAAATTAATTTGAATTCTTTTTAAACTTTAGGCCAAAGGTAGCATATAAGAAAATAACTTTTAAATGTGTATTGTGGTAGAATACAAATGTATATTTTTATTGTTACTATAACAACATCTGATGGGATTTTCAGGTGATATACTGCATCCTTAATTGTAATGGAGTGTAGCAACACTCATGTATCATGTGTAGAAATTAACACTTGGCAGTTAACTGCTTAAAAAGAAAACTGGAACAAATTGTCAGTACTAAGTAAGATTCCATGAACCTTATTTGAAAGGACTGGCCATTTATAACAAACAAGCAATTCTTATTTCTCTCGATGAGCAGGATCTGGAACTCCTAAGCCATCCTGCACCAGCCCCTCATCGACCCCACACCCTCCTGTCGCTCAGAGCTCAGCTCCCACTGCCCCTTCAGCCACCCCTCCTCCCCAAGATTCAGGCTTCACCCCTCAGCCCACTTTGTTAACTCAGTTTGCTCAGCATCAAAGGTCTCTGAGCCAGGCAATGCCTGTAACGACCGTTCCTCTCTCCACCATGGTGATACCTGTGCTCCAGGAGCCGCAGCCGCCCAGGTCATGGCAAGCTCCGCTGGCCTTAGCTTCATCAGTGCCGTGGGCTCTGCGTGGTGAGTTCCTGGGCGCTCGGGCTTTGCGAGATTCCTACCGGTCCAGATGGACTCTTACTGTGAAATTAAGAATAAATTGCATGTCACTGAAACGGAAGGAAAATGCTTTAGGTTCAGGCAGAAGCTGTCTCAGCCAGGCTTTAGTTCTAGGTGCTGCGTCTGTTACGTGCACCCAGACATTGCTGCTGCATACTGACAGCAGCTTAGATTTCTCTGTTCATCTTTTGTTACATCTCTTAATCCCTAGATTAGTACTTTTATTCTTTCAAGTTATAGTTTGACCTTGAAAAATGTACAGCACTTAATTTTAGCCAACTTTGCCATCACTTTCTAGCATAAAAGTGAAACTGAGTTTTTAGATTGATATTTAAGGTAAAATTATCTAATTGTGTTTGTTTTGTTTTGTTTTAATCCAAGCAATTATGTGTGTGATTTTCCCTTTTGCAGTGCAAGTTTAATGCTTGTCTTACTCTCTCAACAGTGGGGCTCAGGCTTTGATGAGTGGTTCGAACCCTGTGCTGGGCTGTAACACTGGTGCCGTAGCTCCTGCAGGAATCAGCCTGAGCGGCCTTCTCCCCTCAGGAGGTCTGCTGCCAAGCACACTGCCCGGCGCGGTGCAGGCAGCTTCTCAAGCAGGTCAGGACACTGGGTGGAACATAGCCTCTGAAATGCAAGTGCATGATAACGTGAAAGTGTCAATTTAACGCTATTACTGAAGGTATTTTACTCTTCATTTATGTAGTATATCAAAAAGGCTCTTTTTAAAATGGAGGCTTTTATGTTGAAAGCCTTTAAAGTTCTGATATTTGAATTAAAAACCATCTAGCAATCAAACTTATGTGAAGAAACTTGATAAACGTGTAAGTCTTTGCAAATTATATCTTTGCCTTTCACACATTATAATAAAATTAACATTGATAGTCTTATTGTTGTCAGTGTAGTCTCACTCCAGGTGACGGAAACATTTCTTGAAAAGATAGATTATGCAAGAAAGGGACAGCACGGCAGTAAGAGACCAGTCTGCATCCCCGCTGTGCACCGTGCGCCTCACTGTCCTTGGAGATAGAATGGGGGTGATAGTGACACCTTATCACCTCATAACTGTGAGCGTTAGATGAGTCTGTGCTGGTGAAGGGCTTCAGCTGTGCCTTGAGTCTGAGCATCAGAGACGTCTGCTGTCAGCAGCAGTTTCATTGTAGTGGTGGCTGTTACCACGTGTGCTGGGAACAGCTACAGCAGCGCCTGCTATTGCTTCAATGCTCTTTAAAGGAACATGATGTAATGTCTTGGCACAATTCAGTGTCCTTCTGCTAAGAAGAAATTTAATAGGGAAAACAAACTTGGCATAGTAAGGAAATTAATCGAAAACTTTATATGACTTAAGACTGCTATTTTCAACCTTTTTATCTCATGCCACATGTCAGCTAATTACTAGAATCTTGTGGCACACCAAAAGATGTATATATTTTGTCTATCCGACAAAAAAAAAGTTATAATTTTGATTGATTGCAAAAAAGTAATGATAGCAATTACCTACCCTTTTTGCTTCAAAGTGACTTTTTAAAAAATCAGGTGCCAAGCCCTAGCTGGGTGGCTCCATTGGTTGGAGCATCATCCCATACACCAAAAAGTTTTGGGTTCGACTTCCAGTCAAGGCACATGGATTCCTGGTCAGAGTATGTGCAGGAGGCAACTAATCAGTGTTTCTCTCTTTTAAAAAAATCATTAAAACCATGTTCTCAGTTGAGAATTAAACAGATGCCTATACCTGTACATAAGGATTTCTCGTACCAAGAATTAACCAATCAGACTTATCCTCATGCAGCGTGACCAATAAGATGCAACCCTGTTATATGACCTGTATACTTACTGTTCAAGACAGGTCAGTCGCACTGGACAGCTATTAACTGTGTCAGCTGCTGCCGCTGTTTGTATTTGACAGTCCAAGGGAAAGGAGGCCTGTGTCCTTTGCATGTTTTAAAAATTCTTGTGGCACATCAGTTGAAAATTGCTAACTTGAGAGACAGAGACCCCAGAAATATATAAGCATGTTAGCATTGCTGTGGTCCCTGATTTTGGCTGTGGTCTTACTGCAATGTGCACAAGTGTGTTTAGTGGTGGGCGTACCGGGAGTGGAATCAGGTGTCGAATTGACACTGTTCACATGTACATGGACCCTGCCAGTTACACATGGCCCCGGATGCGACAAGTCGCTTTCTCTTCCTTAGCCTCAGTTTAATTTGCTGTACAGAAAGGAAAATCAGCATTGTCATATTTTTATCTGATGATGCTTTTGAAGTTTTTTATATAAGGTTCACATACTAACACCTATGAATTTTCTACCTCTTACATTTTTATTATTTATTTATTTATTTATTTTAATCCTCACCTGAGGGTATATTTTTATTGACCTTAGAGAGAGGAATGGAGAGGAAGGAAAACATTGATGTGAGAGAGACGTCAGTCATTTGCCTCCCCTACGCTCCCTGACCAGGAATCAAACCTGCAACCTTCTGGTGTATGGGACAGCACTCCAAGCAACTGAGCCAGCCTGCCAGGGCCTGGCTGGGCCTGCCTCTCACCTTTTTAAAACACAGTTACTTGTTTAGAGAACTAGATACATTTTTAATTAGTGTTCAAATTGGCATGTATCGTTACTGAGAAAAAGAAACACTTATTTGAGACCAGGTCAGCAAACTGCAGTCTACAGTCTAAGCTGTGAATGACTTTACATTTTTTAAAGATGTGTTTAAAATGTAAAAAAGGAAAATGAAGAGGAAGAATATGCACTGTGGCTGCAGGTGGCCGATAAAGCCCACTGAACAGTCAGCCGACCCTGGTCTGTGGTGCGCTCTGCTGTCACAGAATTAGCAGTTTCCTGACTCTCAGTTTGATCCTACATACAGATTCAATGTTCTTTAGCATTATTATTAGCTTTTGTACTTTAAAATAATTGTACGGAGCACACTGGTTCTCAGAAGTATGATTATTATGATTACCACATACGGTGTAGCACTGAGGAATGTCAGTAGAAGCCAAACCTGAAAGGTGTTTGCTTAACTGTGATAATTTAGTTATATTCATGGTCTCCGCATACTTCTAGATTACTTTCTCCAGCCAACAGTCCAAATAGTGATCAAGAAGTCTCAGTTTCTGAAATACAGAATAAACGTACATTTAGTGCTCCAACTCTTTGATCTCAGTATTGATACTGTTCTTAAGACAGTTTAAAAATATAGGGAAAAAAAGGCTTGCCTATGCAGAAAGCACTTTAAAATGCTATATTTATATATGTACTAAAGTGTAAAAAACTTTCATGTGTTGTAATAGTTTTAATTTCTTATTATAACCTTGAATTGTATTTAACAGGTGTTCCATTTGGGTTAAAAAATACTTCAAGTCTCAGGCCCTTGAATCTACTTCAGGTAAACCTGAAACACTGCTCTTGATTAAAGTTTTCATGCTTTGATTTTTTGAACATAATGTATATCTGCACATATCAGCATTTGAAATTTTGAGATGGTTCAGAATCTTCTGTGGATATGGTTGTAATTGCTACTTTGCATGGTTGGGAGAGTCGGCACAGAGAGTAAGTATCCTCCATACTGCACTTCCATTGCTCTGTCAAGTCAAGAGCTAGATGTTTGGAGACAGAACTGACAGCCAAGGAGCACAGGCGCCTGCAGTAGCAGCAGTACCTGTAGTGAATAATGTCTCAGCAGACGTTCTGTGCACCTGTGCAGTGCTGCTTGCTCACAGCAGACTGTGCTCGGATGGAGAGTGAAGGAGCTGCGTGTGCATTTCCTGAGGAGCAGGATCTGTTGTGCAGTGCAGGCACCTGATAGTGATTTGGTAAATGTCAGCCCACAGTCTGTCCAGCGATAAGGCTTTTACGCGGTACCAGTCAGCACAGGCAGCATAGAGAGATTGAAAGGGGGGGATTGGTGCACACTGAGTGTGAGCGTACAGTATTTGGGGTATTGCACTCCAGGTCCTTGATAAGGGTTGGATTCCAGTATTAACCTAGGTTGGAAAATGAGTAGGGCTACCTACAGAGAATTTAAAAAGGGTAGACAGAAGATGAGGATCTGAGACACACGTGGCAGAGCTGTGCGTTGTTGGGAAATAACGTTGGGAAATAACAGTAGCAGATCAGCCAACCTGGCACTCAAATAACACATTGGGAAATGTGCTGAGAGCTGACTTAAAGCTTGTTCCTTATCCAACATGCAAGTAGTGCCGCTGTTTGCAGAGCAGTTGCCTGTGATGCAGACAGACCACAGATCGTGTTGGTTTGTTTAACGTCCCTGCATATTGCTGTTGGGGTTTCTGTCAGGGATTAGTCTCATTGATAAGAGGAGTGGAGCTCCTTACTAGAACTGATGATAATAAGGACAAAACTATTATATAAATCAATTATGTTTTGCTACATTTATTATCTAAGTGATTAAGGAAAGAACATCTGACTGGTGCTATGCCCAAATACTTAGTGATAAACTCTGCTGGGTTGTAGAGATTTTGACCCAAGGGCCTTTCTTCTTTCTTTCTTCCTTCCCTCCTCTCTCCTCTTCTCTTCTCTTCTCTTCTCTTCTCTTCTCTTCTCTTCTCTTCTCTTCTCTTCTCTTCTCTTCTCTTCTCTTCTCTTCTCTTCTCTTCTCTTCTCTTCTCTTCTCTTCTTTTCTTTTCTTTTCACTATACAGACCTAAGAATTCTGTATTTGGTATTTACTTGGACTTTCTCTTAAGGACCTCAAAGTGCTTATAACTTAAACCTTTATAGAATAAAATAGAAGAGCCATTTGTTTTCTGATTTATTTGGAATGTCTAGTTTTAATTTTTAACATGGATTTTTCTGAATGCCTGTTTAAAAAACTTTTTGTAATTTGAATCAATTTAGATTCTGAATGACACAGCAAGTAACCCCAACCTAAACATGGACCTGCAGTTAGCACTTCTTCTCAGCTCTGGGGTTCTCACTAGGTTGTATGAGCATCCATGCAGTTCTGGGATTTGGCAAAGCTAGAACAAATTTTGAGAGATGAGTTTTCATAATGTGTATTTCTGATTTTCACTAGCTTTTTATTTTCTAATGCATTTAACACTTTTTTATTTAGGTATAGAAAGTTAAATAAAAGCAGTGTGTATATTTGGATATGTCACTAACTTGAAGCAGAATGATTTATGTTTTATAGTATTAACATGTTTGAGGACCCTAAAGTAATAACACTTAAAAATTGTTTTTAAATAAATCTTTCTATTTTTTTAAGGCAGGGATCTTGTTTTGTTTTTACTTTTGTTTACATTTGTTTTCTCAGTTCCTAGGAGAATGCCCAACACAGTGAACGCTCCAAAAATATTTGAGGAATAAAGAAATTTAAACCATGTGAATTCATTCTTGTTTAAATTCTTAACAGCTCCCAGGTGGCTCACTGATTTTCAACACCCTGCAGCAGCAGCAGCAGCAGCAGCAGCAGCAGCTCTCTCAGTTTGCTCCCCAGCAGCCTCAGCTCCCTCCCCAGCAGCCCACAGCGTCCAGCCCTCACCAGCCAGGGGAGCAGGTGTGTGCTCTGTGCCTCCACGTGCTCTGTGTCTGCATGGGATTGTTACTCCTTTTGTATATGCTGAGCGTTTTTCAAGTGTATTTAGTTTGTTTCAACAAACAGTTCCTACACTATTTTTCTTTATTGACAAGAGCAGCTGTCAGTTATTCTAATTCTCACAACCTCGGACTGGATCGTGTTGTCACTTCATCTTCTGTTGTATGGAACAGATTCAGACGAGGTACTTGCTCACGGCCAAGTGAGAAGCAGAGCAGGGAATTCAATTTAAATTCAGGTCTCTGCCCCAAAGGCTTGTATTTTCCTGCTGTTGACAGTATTTGTCTCTTAGAATTGAGATGTTCCTGTTACCATGAAACTTAGGGTAGAGGGAATATAGACAAAAACAAATACTTCTGCAATATTAAACATGATAAAATTGAATAAGAATTATGGTAAATTTAAAGTAGAAGAAGCAGCTACAGATTTTTCTGAACCTTTGCTATACTTTGGAATCATCTGGGGAAGTGAAAAATCTGTACCTTCTGTTTCCTTTCCTGGACTACTGTGCTCACTGGGGGCACCAATTCAGTGTCACAGAAACTGTTCTAAACTCAAAGCCCTGCTGGTGCAGCAGTAGGGAGAAGCCCTAGGGAGCTGCTCACAGAGCCCCAGCAGTCAGGTCTGAAAGGCTGGCCTCACGGGCTTCCTTTCAAAGCACAGTAAGTGTGTTTGTTCTTGCTGATGCCGAATACCTTTAAAGTCGCTTCCTTATGTTTACTTTTTACAAGACCTAGTCTAACATGGTTAGTTTTTCTCATGCAGAAAAAGTACTGCTTTCTTTTTACCAACACAAATTGTTTTTCTTTCTATACAAGTCATGTCTGCTTCTTTAAAATTCCCATTCAGGGCTCTGAACACGGCTCCAGCAGTCAGGAGCAGGCCCTGGCCGCTCAGCACGCCGCTGCGATCAGCCTGGCCGGAGCGGGACGCCTGGCGCAGCCGCAGGCCGGTCGGTATCATGGCCGTGTGTGCGGGTTTCCTGAGGGTTCGATCTAGTCGGGTCTCGCCTTTTTAATTATTTAATTGTTTCTCCTTCTCTTGCAAGCATGAACTAGGAAAAGTATAGTTATATCTATCAACTTACTGATAGCCCTCTGAGAGTTTTTCCATTGACAGTTGATGAATTACAAGTGCCTTGACCTACATACATGAACAGCAGTTGTGTTTTCCTCATGTTAGTTTGTTGGCAAAGTCTTACGCAGTGATCCTAAACTTGCCAGGAAGCCACCAAAGTGGGCAGTGCTTCCGTTTTTCCGGGCATTTAGATAGTGCATAATCGTTCCTTTCATTCTGGTAGGTTGTATTTGCATGAATTAAGATATAATGTCAGTAATAAAACTTTCTGTAAGCCACTTTTTTCATTTGTAAAAAAAAAAAAAATGAGGTTATACTACATGCTTACCACTTCCAACAGTAAATGGTGAACCAAAGATTTTATTTTGTCAATTGAAGAGAGTAATTAGAGTTTGAGGATTGAATGAGGCATCATGTCAACATTTGAATTCCTGTTGGGCTTACTGTGGTGCCTTTAGAATCCTTTTGAACTCTGTGTCTGAATTTAGTAAGGTCTTACATGTTCTAATTTTAGAGCTAGTGAATTTCTAATGGAAATTCATCACAAACCTCTATCACATCAGGTACACATATAAAGTATAATTTAGTGGAAAGAACCCTAGGCTGAAAAATCATGAAAATGATCCATGCTCCAGACCTGCTACTATTGCCTGGTGATGACTTGAGCCATCTAGGCCTGCAGTGCCTCCCCCTGCAGGGAGCGGCTGCGGCGGGGCGGGGCGGAGGGTGGAGCTGCAGTGCCCTCTGGCGCTCGCTGCGCCCTCTGCTGGAGCACCTGCCTGCCAGCTGCGCCACTGCAGCCTCCACTGCTCCCATGCCTCTCCTACTCCGTTGCAGTATCTAAAAAATAATGTGCTGCATTTTACATTCTGCAAGGAAACCTCAACACAATACCAATTGTCCCATCTCGTTGGGTAGAAGGGGCCAGTGCTCGCTCACTCAGCACGTGCCCTCCCTGCCCTGCCCAGTCTGTGATCAGTGGTGCAGCTAACAGGAGACTGAGTGCATTCTGAAATGTCTGTGATTTGATACTTAGAGTAATCATGCTGAAACTTTTCTGTTGTTTCACTTTCTGTGTTGTCCTTTCTAACCCTGGTAGCCTTCAGACTTTGTGACTGGCCTGCTCTCCCCTTCTCCTCTCTGTAGCGTTGTCTCAGCTTGGCTCTGCCGAGAACAGACCTGAGCACAGCCTTCCCCAGCAGAGACTCCAGCCCTCCTCTGCCTCGCAGCAGCAGCAGCAGCAGATACAAGTAATCCAGCAGCTTCATCTGACTCCATTCTAGACACTGTGCTCCAGAAGCACCTCAAATACCTTAGTTTTATTTCACTGTCTTTTAAGACTATTTAGTAATAGGTAAATAATTCAGCAAATTTTATTTAAGTCTGACATTTTAGCCACTCAACTTGGAGCGCTGAATATATTTTGTATATTTAAGCCATACTTTCCTTTACTTAGAATCTTTCATGAAGTGCTGGTGGCACATCAACAGCCGTTTCTGTAGTTGCACTGAGACAGCTCAGTGCTGATGGCAACTTGTGCTGCAGACAAGTGTCCCAGTGTCCCTGTCGCACCTGCCTGAGAAAACGGTCGTTCCCTCACCTAGGAAGTCAGCACAGTGCAGGTGCCTGTCTTGAACATGCGGGCGGCTCGTGTGCTGTAGACCGTCAGCCAGGCAGCACTGCGGCTGCCGAGTCACTGCAGCAGGCCCTGCCCTGGTGTCTGCACGTGGCAGAGCCTGTTCCTCCCTCGGTGCTTCTCCCTTCCGTTGTTCTCTCTCAGGAAAAGCTCCTTCGCACACCTGCCTGCACTGCACCTAACTGATCTCCCCTCCCTTTTGCAGCAGCTGCGGTTCTTGCAGCACCAAATGGCTATGGCGGCGGCGGCGGCCCAGACGGCGCAACGGCAACGGCAGCGGCACACAGGCGGCCAGCCAAACAGTAAAGTGAAGAGGGGCGCACCCACCTCTCCCAAATTCTGAGTCTTGCTTTCTTTTATTTTATTTTTTTTATTTTTTAAGAACTTAAGAGCTATGAATGGAAAGGATTCTGAGTTTCTACTTCATTGTTGTTTTTTAAAACATATCAGTATTTTACATTGCTTGATGTACAAACTTTATAGAGAAGCACAACCCTATGATTTTTAAATAAAAACAGGGAAATGCTTTGACACACCATTAGGGTTGGTTTGCGTCAGTCGCTGCTTTTTCAGGACGGGCTCCCTGCACGTGACGTGTGGACGCGGCCTGAGAGATACTGGAAGCGCCTTTCAGAAGGATGTAGTTCAGTATTTATTTAGTATAAAAGGTTTGTGCACAGTGTAACAAATATAGTTTTTACAAATGTTTTGAAAATGTGGTTGTTTATTTGGGGTTCATACTCTTCATTACTTCATCCGTCAGTTTTTTTACTTCTCTGTGCCTTAGAGCTGCTCGGCTCATGCAGTCCTGGAGTTTAGCACCAGTCAGCCCACTTCCACCTGCAAATCATTGTGCCGACATTTTTCATCTATGTTACTTTACTTGTAACGACCAATGTCATGTCAAGTTATAAACCAAAAATTTCAATAATGTAAACCAGTGGTATGGTTAAGATTTGCAAGTTATATTTTAACAAGATCTCCAAGTGGTTCTAATATAAAAAATATAAAGAATTTGAGGTAACAAACTTGATGCATTAGGTAAACAGTAAAATACCCCACATTCCACACCCCCCACCCCCCGGTAAAGAAGTTAATCTCATCCAAATATTTGGGGCAGAGGTAAAAGGAACATGCCTGGTTTGTGAAGACAGCATAGCTTGCCATCCTCGTCCATGACTACTGTTAGGGTTCCGGTGGCCAGATGTTCTTCTTCTCCAGTAGGGTCAACTATGAGCAGAGTGCTGTTTAAAAATTTTTTGAGGTACAAATGATCAATCCATGAAACATTGTATTTTAGAAGAATACTTAATACACGATTTTTATACATTTGACTTACTCGTCAAATACTGCAAAGGAGGTAGCAACTGGATGAGTTCTGATATTCAAATAACTTTTCTTCTTTAAATTAACTTCTGCTAAAGCAGTCTCTTCATTTATAGTAACTTCCGGCAACTGTACTAGAAGGAGAGAAATACGTTCAGTAAGTCTCTAGTATAAGTAACAAACATGGCTGCCTATGCTTTCTCAATTCAGTTTTCCCTGTCTAGCTTGTCCAGAAGTATTTTAGAAAAAATTATCTTAGACCATCACCATATAGTATCTATAAACATTGTTACTAATTTAGATACACTAAAAGGAATGCTAGTAAATCATAACAAAACCCAAAGTCTGAAAAGGTTTTAAGAAAACGGACTATCTGACACGCCAGCAGGAACACTGCCGTGACTAAGGCTGCTCACCATTCTTTAAAGCTGCCAGCAGAGCAAATGTGCAGGCATCCAGAATGTTCCCGTCGTAGTCGAGGCAGATGAGATCGCAGTACAGGACCCACGCGAGCTGAAACAGTTTGCAGTGATCGGGCTTCTGGGCCGCTCGCCGCGGCTTGTGCGCCAGAGCCCTCGACCACGAGATCAGCTTCAAGGCTCAGAAACACACAAACCTTTCCCTTTGAGAAGTGCACATAAAAGGGGATGTCTGATAAAAGCTGGCTTTTGACTACACCGAGCTGACAGATGACAAACATTTCCATTCCTGTTGCTAAGTCAGCAAGTGAAAATCAAAATATACTTTCCCAAGGAAACCTTAATATATGAAATGCTTAGGTTTTATAAGCTAACATGTAGTGAAATAGGAAAAACGTATAGGTTCTGATCAACTTAGTTCTGAGTTTTTAAACACTTGAAATTGACAGTGTGGATTCACACATGTCGCTGACCAGGTGCCAGCAGGCTGCAAGGGGCCTGTGGAGTGAGTCTGCTGTGGGCGTGGAGGGGGAGTGGCCTCAGCGGGAGGCGGCTGCGAGGCAAGCAGGTCAATGGCCCACACTGGCTCTTGTGTGAACACAGTTCTGATGTTCTTAGTGATTTCATCTAAAAACAATTAAGACACCTGTATTGAAGGCTACTGTGTTTGTTAATTTCCGTCTCTCCACAAAACACTTCATAATTAATAAAAGTTCATAGCTTCATTTTTCTTACCTTTCCTGAAGAAATGCATAAGTCTTCTTTCTGAATTATCTGTGAACTTGATTTAATGACAACACAGTAAATGAAAGGTCAAAACTATCTGAAAATGAACGGTAGTCACACTTTGTTGCAGTCATCTTACTTCTCAATGACATCTGCAATGAACTGGCTGGCCACCTGGGCCTCTTCTCCAGGGGGTCCCGACCGGAACCTGGACGAGCACAGCGGTGGGAGGTCCACGTTGGGAACTGGAAGAGACGTGACCATGCGGCCCCCTCACTCCTGGCTGGTGGGCGTGGTGAGGGGAGGCTTTTCTAAGCGGAGAACTAACATCCACTACATTCTTTTTGGTCTTTGTATTTCTGACTTTTTACCAAACACCAAAAAAAGAAAAGCATTTACTTAAGGATTAAATCGTTCACGAGTTTTCCAGATTCTTTCAGAAACCTCCATCTAGAGCAGAAGGTGTTGCCTCTACTGTTCTGAATTAAAAAAAATTTTTAATCCTCACTAAATACTTTTTCCATTGCTTTTAGAGAGAGTGAAAGGGAAGGGGGAGGAGGGGTGGAGAGAGACATCAGTGTGAGACAGACATATAGTAGTTGCTTCCCACATGCACCCCAGCCTGGCTGGGGATTGAACCCAAGAGGGGTGACACTTAACCACAGACACACTGGCCAGGGCTGTTCGGCATTTTCAAAACGTTGCTTCCTACCATGTAGAACAGATGGTCTAAGTCGAGAAATCACATAGCAGGCCCTGGCTGGGTGGGTCCTTAGGTTGGAGCATCAGCCCATGCACCAAAAGGTTGTGGGTTCAATTCCCAGTCAGGGCACATACCTAGGTTTCAAGTTTGATACTCAGGTGGGGTACATGTTTGAGGTAACCAATGTTTCTCACATCTATGTCTCCCTTATCTAAGATCAATAAAAACACCCTCAGGTGAGGATAAAAATCGCAGTGGTTTAGATGAACATCTTTATGGTAACAGAAGTCTGTAATTGCAGCCTTTTGCCTAGAGCATTCTATTTTCTTGGTTGATGACATCTATTTGTATACACAAAAACTAAAGTTTGAAAAAACAAAAGTATTTTGTTATTATGCTATCTTCTAGCAAACCTTTAGGAATGTCTTCCTGTATATTTCTGATTATTACGAATAATTTCCAAAACTACTAGGACTTAGCTACAATAGTAGCATTACATGTGCTCCAGTGTCCATATTGAAATGACAAAACCAGGTAACTTACCAACATACCCTTTGTCAGGGGCGTCTGGCGGGGGTGCTGCGAACTCCTGCGAAGCAGACAAATGTTTCCTATGAGAAGCTACTAGACACCAAAGACAGCACAGTCCTGGGAGGTTGCCAGACCACACTGAGCAGTGCGCCAGCGCCACCTCCAGCACCCTGCCCGGGACGCTGTTGGCTCTGCAGCACATGGTGCGGCCCAGTTACTACACACGGCGCTGCCATCAGAAATGCTTGTGGCTCTTTTCAAAATATTAATTGGATTTATGCTCCGCCCTCACTTGCATTCATTCAGCAGCCAAGAATCTGAATTTAAACTCCACTGTGACAAGGGCACAGCAAGATTGAGGGAATGGGAATGATGGTAACAGACATGGAACTAAGCCAAAGCTGGTTCAGAGGTCAGACCCACACTTTTTGGCCGAGACTTTGGGCAAATTAACTTCTTACCATTCAATTTCCTCATGTGCAGAACAGGACGTTTATGGAGGCCTGATTTAAAGACTCAGTGAGGGTTGAAGAAGAATGCTTTTCGGTCCCAAATGTAAAACTGAGCAGTTCATGTTCAGCCTCATGGTCAGATGCCCCAGACCACGGAGAAGTACGTGGACTGGAGAGTGGGGTACAGCCTCATGGTCAGATGCCCCAGACCAAGGAGAAGTACGTGGACTGGGAGTGGGGTGCAGCGTGGCACAGCACACAGGTTTCGGGGCAGAGAAGTCCCATCTGTGAGCCTCACGTCTCTGGACAAGGACTGGCCCATGTCAAGCAGGTGACAGAAACCTCACGTGCCCTGAAGGACCTGACTCTAAAGCGCCTGCTGTGAGGTGTGAAGCATGGGACAGCACTCGGTGCCCGCAGCTCACTGTCTCCAGGGCTCCTTTGCAAGTCTCGATTTTCTGCACGTTCACATGGACTCGCCACCACCGCTAGGTAAAAGGGTGTCACCAAAGCCCTGGCCGCTTTGGCTTAGCGCTTAAAGTGTCGGCCCGCAGGCCAGAGAGTCCTGGGTTCGGTTTCTGCTAAGGGCACAGACCTCGATTACAGTTTGTCCCTGGCCCCTGTTCGGGTCATGTGGGTGGCAGCCACTCAACGTGTCTCTCTCTCACAATGTTTCTCTCGCTCTCTTCCTCCCCCTCTCCCTCTTGCTCTATCTGAAGATGAATGCAAAGGTGTCCTCAGGTGAAGATAAAAAAAAAAAAGGTGGTCACCAAAAATCTCTCGATTTCTCAAACGACACCCGAATTTGTAAAACAATTACAGGTAGTAGAATTTTGAAAATTATTTCATTTCATTACTTTTTTTTTTTAATCCTCACTCAAGGACATTTTTGCATTCAAGGTACGTGCCCTTAGCGGGAACCAAACCCAGGTCTCTCGGGTCCGCGGGCTGACGCTGTAACCGCTGAGCCAAACCAGCCAGGGCACAATTCAGTACTTTTGACGAATGTCCATAAAATATCACTGAGTCATTAAACTTGGGCTGCATTATCTAATACTTAGAAATGAAAGCTCTTGGGAAATGAAATATACTAAAAGCTGACATCTGACTGCCTGGTTAATAGTCATCAGTGTCTATTACCATCTCGTAAGTACCTGAAGATCATCTGGTAACTGAAACCTCAGTAGACGTGCATTAAACCTACCGCTTTGACTCCACAAATTACAGCAGTATTTCCCAGCTTCACTAGAGCGGAACCATCTGCCGTACTAATTGAACCTGAAGAGAAGAGAAGCATTTAAGCAAAATGAAAGAATCCTTAAGAGTGTTTTTGCCTTCTACATAGAATTTATCACTGGCTCAATCTGTTTAAAAGGGCACAACTACTTAAAACGACTGTTCAAGAACTGTTCACCTGTCACTGAGCTTTCTCCCTCCAGCCACAGCACTGCAGACAGAAATCTCTCTACACAAGGTCGCTGGAACCCCTTCGACATGGTAGAATTTGGGCAAAATACTATTTAAGTGGCTCAGAGGCTAAAATTTGGGAATGCTACGCAGGTAAAACTGGAAAATCCCATGTTTGCAACACCAGGTTTAACAAGTTCATAATACAAGGAATCCATGTCTGGGAGGCTTGGGGGGGGGGGGGCACGCAGCTCTTAATAGTAACTTTAAATGTTTAAAGAGCACATAAATTTGAGAGAATAGTGAGTTTTTAAAAAACCTTTAAAAATAAAAATTCCTTACTAGTAAAAAAATTCTATTTTCAAAATCAAAGCAACTTCAACAGTCTAGAACTCACAATATCCTCACCTATGTTAACAGTTGTGGTTCTGAATTCACCAAGTTCTCTTCCATCAGGACGGCAGTTCTCTTTCTAAACAAATATATATAAAAGTAAATTACTTCCACGTGTACATTTTACACAGAACCAAGGAAAACACATTAAACCTTGTTAATTAAAATTACTTCAAAAATTTTGAGGTATAATTGATATGTAAGATTAGTTTGGGATGTATAATGTAATGTAACGTTCAATATTTATATATATAAAAGCTGACTTTAAAAGCATATGATCAAAAGGCATAGCATCGACATAACCACTTTCACTCACCAAAAATCTCCTGTAATACTCCAGCGGTTCCACGGTTCTGAAACGTGTTAAAAATATATCTGAAGTAAGTTAATGAATCTTAACATCAACCCAGAAACTGGGAAAGATCCTCGTGGTGCAGAATTAATCTGCACAACGTGCAAGTTTCCTTAAATAAATCCTAAAGTGCATGTTGCCACGTGCAACCAATTATAAAAAGGAGGGACTTGCTGTAGCGACCGCACTGACCCGCTGCCAACTGTGCCCTAAACAGTCGCAGGGCTACGGTCCCGCTCTCGCCCGAAGCGGGGCTTCTCAACTCCGGCATGAAAGTCGGGCCTTCGCTTTCCCTGTCCCGTAAGTGAAGGCAGCACAATCGTCAACGACTGTGGGCAGCAGCCGGTGTGACGTGAGCGGTGCCGCGAGGGTCCCGGCTGCTCGCGGGTCTGCAGCGCGGACACCGGGCGCTGCGCCCCCTCCGGGCGTCACCAGCCTCCCGGGGCCTCGTCGCCCACGTCGGCCGTACCAGGCTCTGCAGCCCGCGCCGGGCGCCGGGAGTCTGCACGACGAGGTGCTGTTCTACGGGGCGGGTGCCCTTTGGGTCCCGCTGCCCCGCGCACCCCTGCCCGAGCGGGAGGCCGGGGGCTTCGCTGGGGGCACAGGGGGGCCCCCGGAAACCTCCAGGCCCCTGCGGGCCGGCGCGGCGCGAGGCTCGCACGCACTTGGACACCGATGTGTCTGCCGGGACCTCGGGGAGGCGCCGCCCTCGGCCGCTCACTGACCGGCGCCCAGCGTCCCGGGACGGGGCAGCCCCCCCAGCGGCGCGCGGCGCCCGCACGCCCGTCCGTCCTCCGGTCTCACCGGCGGCGGAGCCCCTCTCCTTCCCCACGACCACCTCCAGGTCCTCACGCCTTCCGCGGGCCAGGTGGGAACCGGGGGTGGCCGCCAGGGGAGTGGCCCCAGCTCGTGCTTGCAGGGAGCCACCGGCCGCCAGGAGACACTTTCCCACCGCCAGCCGCCGGTACTCACTTGAACCCGGCCGCCATCTTCCCGCCCGCGCGCCTGCGCCTGCGCCGCGTCGGCGCCTGCGCTGCGCCTCCTGGCCCGGCGCCTGCTCCGCCTTCGCACTTTCGTCAGGGAGGCCCGTGTCCTCCCGCAGCCCGAGGCGCCCGAGGCCGGGGCGCTGCACGGCGGGCTCCGGGCCCGCCCGCGTCCCGCACCCCCTAGCTAGGCGCCTCTCTCGACTTCCTTGCTGTGTACGCGTTTTGACGAATCTGCTATTAGAAACGCGATGAGCGTCTCTCTTGAGAAACAGGCTGGTGGTTCAAGGGTTTCAGAGAAAACCAAATGCACAGCCAATGACCCGGTGTTGAGTGTGAAGTGTGACTGCGGTTTCTGCACCCTTTCCCCGCATCCGTGCCAGGGCGGGCCCGAGTGCTCATTCCCCCAGGTGCAGGGTCCCCAGCCCTGGCGCCGCAGGTCGCGCAAACGCCCTGTGCACCTGTTACCGGCTCCAGGTCACACTTTGCAAAGGAGCTGCTGCTCCGGAGGGTGTGTCTTGGCTCGAGCCCCCGCCGCCCTTCAGGAGTGGGCGCCAGACTGCATCACGCACGGCCCGCTACGTCCGAACGGCAGAACAGACTCGTCCCGTGCGCACGCGCCCCGCAGTGCGTGCTGGCGGCTGTTACCAGGCGCTGGCGGACAGAAGGACGTTCAGAAACCACGGTGATGCTTGCAGAGAATTGTGACTGCCACGAATGCCACTGCACTGGGCACTTAAAATGGTTAAAACATCAAAAAAAGTTATCCTAATTTTTTAAAAATTATGTAACATACCCACACTTAAATGGGTGGGTTGTATGGCGTGGGAATGACAGTTCAATGAGGCTGCTTAAAAAACACAAAAACGTTGTCGCTTATCTGAAATTCAAATGAAGTGGACATCCTGTGCTTTACGCGCTCATCCTGGCAGCCCTACCTTGGAGCAGCGCGCCCGGTGCACCGACACTGCGTGTCCCTGCCGCGGACGGCAGGGGGCGGGGCTACGGGCGGCAGGGGCGGGGCTACGGGCGGCAGGCAGGGGGCGGGGCTAAGGGCGGCGGGCGAGGCTAAGGGCGGCAGGGGGCGGGGCTACGGGCGGCAGGGGCGGGGCTACGGGCGGCAGGCAGGGGGCGGGGCGGGGCGGGCGGCGCTGAGGGCGGCAGGGGGCGCTGCGGGCAGCAGGGCGGGGCGGGCGGCGGGCGGTGCTGAGGGCGGCAGGGGGCGGGCGGCGCTGAGGGAGACAGGGGGCGGGGCGGGCGGCGGGCGGTGCTGAGGGCGGCAGGGGGCGGGCGGCGCTGAGGGAGGCAGGGGGCGGGGCGGGCGGTGCTGAGGGAGGCAGGGGGCGGGGCGGGGCGGGCGGTGCTGAGGGAGGCAGGGGGCGGGGCGGGCGGCGGGCGGTGCTGAGGGAGGCAGGGGGCGGGGCGGGGCGGGCGGTGCTGAGGGAGGCAGGGGGCGGGGCGGGCGGTGCTGAGGGAGGCAGGGGGCGGGGCGGGGCGGGCGGTGCTGAAGGAGGCAGGGGGCGGGCGGTGCTGAGGGGGCGGGGCGGGCGGTGCTGAGGGGGCGGGGCGGGCGGTGCTGAGGGGGGCAGGGGGCGGGCGGCGCTGAGGGGGGCGGGGCGGGCGGTGCTGAGGGGGGCAGGGGGCGGGCGGCGCTGAGGGGGCGGGGCGGGCGGCAGGGGGCTCTATGGCCGGGAGGGGGCGCTGCGGGCGGCGCTGTGGCCGGCAGGCGGCGCTGTGGGCGCAGGTGCCGGCGGGCGCCCCTCTCCGCCGGCGGGAGGCGGGGCTGTGCGTCCGGCTTCCGCGTGCGTGTAGGTGCCGGGTAGGGCGGCGGCAGCACCCGGCCGGAGGATGGCTCTGCTCCCGCTGCAGCTGGCGGCGCTCGGCGCGGTGCTCGGCGTGGCGCTGGCGATTGCAGCCCTGATACTGGTGAGGAGAGGGCTGGGGGACCCCCGGGGGTCGGGCCCATGGCTCCCCTGGAAGCCAGGCCCGGCCGCCCTTCTCCACGCTGCCGGCTCGTGCTCCGTCCCCAGGCCTTAACCCCGGAATTCCTCTTCCGAATTCACCCCTCCCCTTCTCGTCTATTTTTTAAAACATTTTGTTTATTGATTTTAGAGAGAGGAAGGGAGAGGGAGAGCGAGAGAGAAACATCGGTTGGCCGCCTCCTGCATGCCCCCCACAACCCGGCATGTGCCCTGACCGGACTCGAACCCGGACCTCTGGGTGCGGGGGTCCCGCTCACCCACTACCCGCGCGGCCAGGCCCTCGTCTCTGTTTATTTTGAGTTCTTTCTCCCTACAACCAGAGCGTGCACGGTGGGTTGCTTTGGGACACTCGCTCCCATGCCCCTGACCCTCTGCTTGTCCCGACCTGTCCGGGATTCCCCTGGAGTCTGCGGCCTCTGCAGTGCACCCCCGGGAGGGCCTGGCCCCGGGGTGAGCAGCTCTCAGCAGTGCACCCCCGGGAGGGCCTGGCCCCGGGGTGAGCAGCTCTCTGCAGTGCACCCCCGGGAGGGCCTGGCCCGGGGACAGCAGCTCTCAGCAGTGAACCCCCAGGAGGGCCTGGCCCCGGGGTGAGCAGCTCTCTGCAGTGCACCCCCGGGAGGGCCTGGCCCCGGGGTGAGCAGCTCTCAGCAGTGCACCCCCGGGAGGGCCTGGCCCCGGGGTGAGCAGCTCTCTGCAGTGCACCCCCGGGAGGGCCTGGCCCGGGGACAGCAGCTCTCAGCAGTGAACCCCCAGGAGGGCCTGGCCCCGGGGTGAGCAGCTCTCTGCAGTGCACCCCCGGGAGGGCCTGGCCCAGGGAGGAGCAGCTCTCAGCAGTGCACCCCCGGGAGGGCCTGGCCCCGGGGTGAGCAGCTCTCTGCAGTGCACCCCCGGGAGGGCCTGGCCCCGGGGTGAGCAGCTCTCAGCAGTGAACCCCCGGGAGGGCCTGGCCCGGGGACAGCAGCTCTCAGCAGTGAACCCCCAGGAGGGCCTGGCCCCGGGGTGAGCAGCTCTCTGCAGTGCACCCCCGGGAGGGCCTGGCCCAGGGACAGCAGCTCTCTGCAAGCAGCCGTCGGCACAGCACTGGCGGAGCCGTCTGTTAACAGACGGGAGCAAATCAGTGCACTGAGCCCCACTAGGAACAGGGAGACCAAGCTAGGCAAAGGCCTGGGTTGCCCTCTGTCTGGGGGTCGTCGTGTCCCAGAATTAAACACCCTCCATTTGCTGCCTGGAAACGATGGCCATTGCGCTGGAAACAGAAACATTGTAAATACTTGCTGCTCCGTAAGTAGCAGAAAGGCGCCCAGTGAACTTTCTCCCGTGTGGTTTGGAAAGAGCCTGCTCTCGGGTTGGGAAATGGAGAGATTTCAGCTTCCCTGATGCGCAAATGAGCAGCCGGGAAGGGCTCCCTCGCGAGTCTATAAACCCACAGCTCAGAAACGAGAGGGAACAGCATTGTGTCCTGATTCCCGCGGTGATCTGTCGGTGAGAGGGGTCCGCTAGGGGTACACGGGGATGCCAGACTTAGGGTTCTGCGCAGGTCAGGTCTGGGACGGGCTGGGCCTGACGGGGTCCTGGGCTGCTCTGCCCCGCGTGGAATCCGTCACGGACTTCGTGTGCGCCTTGTGACTCGCACTGGGAGGTTTGACCCTCGATTGTACGAGCTGCCGTTTACTGAGAACTTAAGTATGTTAGGAGTTGTATTCAGTGTTTAGCAGGATTATCCAGTTTGGTTTTTGAAACAGTACTGACAAATGTTATTGCTTCATTTGACTGGTTAGGAACAAGTTAGATGGAAGAGCTTATATACACAAATGTCGCACAGGTCGTGCAAGTTCGTTTTTTAAATGCCAGAGCAGGTAATTATTACAACGCAGAACAAAACGGAAAAACTCTAATACAATTACTTTCCCTCCATATATACTTTATTCCTTCCCCACTTTCTGGATTATTTTGAAGCAAACCCAAGACATATTTATCTGTAAAGCCTAAGCATTTATCTGTAAAGATAGGACCCCTTTTAAAATATAATGGCAGTAGGATTTTCACATATTATTTTTTTAAGTTAACCATTATTTAGTGGTTTTAAATACCCCATCAGTTCCAATGCCTCGTGTATGTCTTAGTAGAGTCAGTTTTTCCGGTCAGCATTCACACACATAGCACTTCATTGATGTTTCAAGTCTGTTTTTAAAAATTAATTTATATTTTTTTGTTAGAGATGTTCCTCCTTTTTCCCCCATTGACACTCCCCCCACCATACTCTTGCCTGTGACCATTGGTTATGCATTTATGCATATAAGTCCTTTGGTTTGTCTCTTCCCACCCCATCCCCCCAGCCACCTTCCCTCTGAGGTTTGTCAGTCTGTTCCCTGCTTCCATGTCTCTGGATCTATTTTCTTCATCAGCTTATTTTGTTCATTATGTTCCATAAATAAGTGAGATCATGTGATAGTTATCTTTCTATGGTTGGCTTATTTCTCTCAGCATAATACTCTCCAGGTCCCTCCATGTCATCTCAAAGGGTAAGAGATCTTTCTTACAGCTGCATAGTACTCCATTGTGTACATGTACCACAGCTTTTTTATCCATTCATCTACTGATGGACACTTGGGCTGTTTCCAGATCTTTGCAATTGTAAATAGTGCTGTTATGAGCATAGGGGTGCATATATTCTTTCTGATTGGTGTTTCCGGCTTCTTAGGGTATATTCCCAGAAGTGGGATCACTGGGTCAAATGGCAGTTCCATTTTTAATTTTTTTGAGAAACACCATATTGTTTTCCATAGTGGCTGTACCAGTCTGCATTCCCACCAGCAGTGTACTAGAGTCCCCTTTTCTCCACACCCTCGCCAGCACTTGTTTGATGGTTCGTTGAAGGTGGCCATTCTGACAGGTGTGAGGTGATATCTCATAGTTGTTTTAATTTGCATCTCTCTGATGATTAGTGATGTTGAGCATTTTTTTCATATGTTTCTTGGCCATTTGTATGTCCTGTTTGGACAGGTGTCTATTTAGGTCTTCTGCCCATTTTATAATTGGATTGTTTGTCTTCCTTTTGTTGACTTGTGTGAGTACTCTATATATTTTGAAAATTAACCCTTATTAGATGTATCATTGGCAAATATGTTCTCCCATACAGTGGGTTCCCTTTTCATATTGATGCTGATTTCTTTTGTTGTGTAGTCACATTTATTCATTATTTTCCTTTGTTTCTATTGCTGTAATTCAACTTATCAGTGAAAATTCTGCTACATGTGATATCTGAGATTTTGCTACCTGAATTTTCTTCTAGGATTTTTATGGTTTCATGAGTAATATTTAAGTCTTTTATCCATTTTGAGTTTATTCTTGTGTGTGGTATAAGTTGGTGGTCTAGTTTCATTGTTGTACATGTAGCTGTCCAGTTTTCCCAACACCATTTATTAAAGAGGCTGTCTTTACTCCACTGTATGTTCTTGCCTCCTTTGTTGAATATTAATTGAGCATAATGTCTTGGATCAATTTCTGGGTTCTCTGTTCTGTTCTATTGATCTGTATGCCTGTTCTTGTGCCAGTACCAGGCTGTTTTGATTACAGTGGCTTTGTAGTATAACCTGATATCCGGTATTGTGATCCTTTCGATTTTTTTCTTCTTTTTCAAGATTGCTGTGGCGATTGGGGTCTTATTTGGTTCTATATAAACTTTTGAAGTATTTGTTCTAGTTCTGTGAAGTATGTTGTTGGTATTTTAATGAGGATTGCATTGAAACTATAGCTTGCTTTGGGTCGTATGGACATTTTAATGATGTTGATTCTTCCAATCCATGAACAAGGTATGTGCTTCCACTTTTTTATACCTTCCTCTATTTCTTTTTTTAATGTCTCATAGTTTTCTGAGAACACGTCTTTTACTTCCTTGGTTAAGTTTATTCCTAGGTATCTTAGTATTTTTGTTGCAGTGGTAAACGGGGTTGTTTTTTCAGTTTATCTGTGTGCTCAGTGGTAAGAATGCCGTCAGTTTCTGGATGTTATTTTGTACCCATGCTGTGCAGCTGCAGGAATCCATGCACTTCGCCTCTCCTCCTGTCTCTTCTCCGTGCTGGTGTTTCTAACCAGCTATTTTCAGGTGGTTTTCAAGTTGCTTGTTCTGCAGTTAGCCTTAAGTCTGCTCCTGTGTTTGGAGCAAATGGGCGGAACTTCCTGAGGCTTCAGCCGTGGTGCCCTGATTCTTGTCTTGGGTGTCTTAAGCTATAACAATGTCTCTGCCGCTTATTTTGAATCAGTGGTCCTTTGTCCTGTTCTCACAGTCCACGTTCTCCTGACTACACCCACTTTGTGCCTTTTAACACCTTTCTCTGGGTCCAGAATGCCTGTCAGCTGGTTGTTACACGTAGAGACTTGATGACATGTATGTTTGAGTTTTTTAATTAAGAAAAGGGTGTGAGTGATGCTGAAGACTTCCCCTTTCATCACATCAGGAGACGCGGAATGGATGCTGTCTGTGCTGTTAAATGTTAGTCTGACCCACCAGCTCTAAGGTTGTTCATTCCCCTGATGGTTTTCGCAGTCATTGGTGATCACTACTTCCACCTGTTATTTCACTGGCAAAAGTAGGGTGTTCTGATGATATCACTCCTTCCTCTATTACCTGGACAGCTATAATGCAAATGAACTTAATCCTTAGCTGCCAATTAACCTGAAATACACACATACATAAAAGGTAAGATAAAAGTCAAGTTTTCAAAACAATGACATAGTTCCCTGGCATCTTATAAAGGTGACTGATTAACTTTTTATTTATTATCATGAATCCACGATATAAAATGTTTCATTTTTTCCGATGGATTGCAGTAATTTGATGCTCAAATGTTAGGCCAGTGAGAGCCCTCAGTCGGCTACCTCGTCCCTTTGCTGGGCCCTGGTTCTCACTGACGGGCTGTCCCACCCTTGCAGGTTCCTGCCCCGCACCCGAGTGGGCCGCCCCCCGAGGAGCATGGGGTGCTCTGGTGGGAGGTGGGGTTCAGAAAACGCGATCTGGACGCGTGCATAGCAGGGACTCGGGGCGCCGATGGGACGGCTGTGGAGGGCGGAGGAGCCACATCGCACGGACGAGCCTGGCTCGGTCCGGAAGCAGCAGGGGCCCCGGAAGAATGTCGGGGACCGTCCTGGGCGGAGGCCGCCCTCACCCCGCGGACCCTGCCCCAGCGACATCGCTGCGCACCGAGGCGTCTTCAGCGTGACTCGTGCCCACTGTGGGGAGTGGGGGGCCGACCGGCCGAGGGGGCCCGTCCTCACCCAGGCTCCAGGCGGGCTGGCCCCTCCCTGTGCCCAGGCCCGGCCGGTCCTACCTCCGAAGCAGTCTGCTCCCTGCTGGCCCCGGGACAGAGGCCTGGAGGCCCACGGGGAAGAGCCTCAGCAGTGGCAAAGGGCAGTTACTGTTCTTGAGACGGGTTTGAATTTTCTGTTTCAATCCTCACCGAGGACATTTTACTATATTTTTTCAGGTGGAGCAGGAGGGGGGGAGAGAGAGGGAGAAACGTCCACGTGAAAGGGACACATCGAGGCTGCCACCTGCATGACCCCAACCTGCGCCGGGGACAAACTGCAACCGAGGTCCGTGCCCTTAGCGGAACCGAACCCGGTAAAAGTTAATCGGTCTCTCTGGACCGCAGGCCGACGCTCTAACCGTTGAGCCACACTGGCCAGGGACCGTTGAGCCCCAGACCACGGTTAATGGACTGAAAACAGAATAAACATTCCCACGAGGAGGGAAATCACGGAGACGATGCAGTGTTCGGACACCACACGTGGAAAGACCCCCACCCAACCATTTCTCCTTAACGTGCCTGCTTCCAGGTTTCCCTGGTGGCATTTATCACAGCCACGGAGATGCCCCCGCTGCACCGGCACGAGGCAGAGAGGTTCTTCCTGAATTCCGGGGGGCAGAGGGAGGCTCTCCCCAGCATTGCGGCGGCGCCCACGAAGCAGCTGTCCGTCGTGGTGCCCTCGTACAACGAAGAAAAGCGGTGTAAGCCCTGTTTGATTTTCTGGTAAGGGACCCCCTGGGGAGACGAGGGACCCCCGGGGAGACGAGGGACCAGTAGTGTGGATCAATCACACTGTCCCTCTCGGTGCCAGTGCCTGTGGGCTGGGTGAGGCCCAGTCCCTGGTACTGCCGTTCAGAAGGGGGGTGTCACAGGCAGTGTGTTCTCGGGGAGCAGTGGGTGTGGGCAGAGGATCTGTGTCTTGAATGGAAGTGGCCAGTGCAGGGTCTTAGATTACGGGGCATTTGCCACAGGTGAACTGCATGTGTGAGAACTCGGTAAGTCATTTTCAGAAGTAATTTTTAATACACCTTTCTTTTCTTTAAGTGCCGGTGATGATGGATGAAGCCCTGGGTTATCTGGAAGAGAGACAGGTATTGTGTTTTCTCTTTCAGTAGGACGTCTCCAGTGAAACCCAGGCCAGGTCACCAACCCCTGAACCCAGGCGAGGCCCACAGCGAGGGCCGTGTCGGCCCCCTCGGGCCATCGTGGTCCCTGGGCCCCAGTGCCAGCTTGTCGCCCACGACTTCCTTCAGAGGCGGGGGGCACCCACAGCAAACTGCAGCCTAAAATACCTCTTGTGTACCCACCCACCTATTGCGGACCCTCTCTTGCCAGACACACACACAATGAGCGATGGCGAGTCTGCAGACTGTGTGACCACCAGTGCGATTTTAACTTTCATGACTTTTTAAGTTTATTTGAAAGACTTATACTTAGAGTGGCATTATTTTGTATTTCTTCATTACTCCTGAGAGTCCCCCTCATTTATTGTCCTCTTCTGTCCCTGCTAAAGATAAGAGGGGCAGTCTTTGTCCCCGGTTTGTGGTGTCAGCTACTGTTGGGGTCTCAGAGAGTGTAAGGGAACAAGTAAGCTCTGTGGCTGATTCTTCTTAAAGAAAATTCCTTGTCTTGGTTTACTTTGGTTTTAGGTCCGTTGTGTAAAGGGAAGAGAGAAGATTCGTGGACAGAGAGGAGCCCATATTATCTACTCAAAAATTAATTTAAAGGAAAGAGGAAGAGAGTTGAGCCCTTTTCTGTGTGAGGCTTCTGTTTCTTCTCTTACACACCAGCCGCATAGACTAGGTTTTTCGGTTTTGTTTTTAATGAGCAAATGGGCCAAGAATGTTACCTTGCCCGAGGCCACAAGGCTGAGAGGTGGGGCTTCCAGCCAGAACCTCTGTGCTCAGATCTCCTGGGCCCCATCTCAGGTGTGCCCAGCACCATTGCACCTGGCACCTTGCAACTGGGGGAGAGCAGGGTGCTCACGGCCCGGGGCCGTGTCCGCCCTCAGCTCCTGCCAGAGTCTCCTTCCGGTTCACTTTAGGTCGTTTGTACACTTCTTTATACTTACGTGTATACACGTCAACACTGACACAGGTTTTAAAAGTGTCTTACAATTGTTTTCAGAGTTCTTCATGGCAGTTAGGCCAAATCGTGGTATTTTATTTTTGCTTCTTACAGAAACAAGATCCTACTTTCACTTACGAGCTGATAGTCGTCGATGACGGCAGCGAAGACCAGACTTCGAAGGTCAGTGGACTTGCTTTCAGAGTTGCCAGCAGATGGAAAGTGTGGGAGGGTTTAGCAAGTTTGAAACCTTGGTTTTGCTCATCAGAGAACCTAACGCTTCACCAAGCTCCCCATTGCTCTGTGTGGGTCGTACAGGAAGCGGAGACTTCCTATATGGAAAACTGGGGGATGCGCCTGCTGCTCCGCGTTCCATGCGAGCAGGGGACTTTGAGCACTGGACTGGGAGAGAACGAACTCGGGTGTTCCCGTTGGGGCCAGGGGAGCCCTCCCTGCCTGCGGTTCATGGTTCCCCTTGCCCTGAGCAGGGTTGTGTTCTAGGTGGTGCGCCTTGCCTGGCATTTTCTAGAGCAGTCATCTCAACAGGAATAGCGGGCATGTTCTCTGTCACACCCCATCTGGATGGACCCGCAGGGGGACAGGCTGTGGCAGGGACACCTGAGGGGGTTCAGGGGAGCTGTGAGGGGGCTGGCCCCGGGTGCAGGCAGACCTGTGGGGAGCAGGGCGCCATCAGCAGGGGTGCTGGAGGCTGGGGTCACGGTGTGCACATCAGCAAGTGGTTCTGTGCCCCTGGCAGCCCAGTAGCTGAGGTGGACAAGTTACACGACGAGGCACAGGTGCCTGTTCTGGTGGAAGGGGAACTCTGACTTCAGCCTAGTAGGTCAGTGTCGCCTCCTGACACCAGGAATTCGACAGCTCCCCGGGCACAACCGCGTCACAGGAAGAGGGCAACTGGAGGTACCGTGTTTTCATCCAAAATGGGAAACCACTTCACATTACGGTCCTGTAATCCCAGTTAATTTTATTCTCACTTTTATGTCGTTTCACAGGTAGCTTTTAAATACTGCCAGAAATATGGAAGTGACAAAATCCGAGTGATAACGCTGGTGAAGAATCGGGGCAAAGGCGGAGCTGTTAAAATGGTAATTCGGGTTCAGCGTTTTCATGGAAAATGCAGAGATGTGGTGAATGCCCTCTTGCAGACTAGTGCCTGTGAATTCTGCAGCGAGCTATGTGAATACCCACATTTCAGATGAGTGGAAATTACTTTCAGTGATGATTGTAACTATATACATGTAGATACATATATTTATGTGTATATATATTTGATCAAATCTGAAAAGATTCCATATCTATAACATACTGGGCGATTCAGAAAAATACGTTTAGCTCAATCAGAGTTTAAAACGTTACCATGCTCCCCTCTGTGTCTCTGGGAGAGTCGCTGGGTAATAAGATGATGTGATTTTTTTTCAATTTACCAAATGCGTCTGTGCGTTCAGTTGGACCCATTGAAGGCTGAGCATGGCACCGTGAGCTAGACCCATCTGACTGCAACGTGCAGTCGAACAGGAAAGGTGGCTGTAGTTACGGAAGGGAAACAGGTGCTGTAGAAGTTCCGAGAGAAGGGGTGACTCCCCTGAGGCTGATCAGGTAGGAGTCAAGATCTGCTGACAAAAAGCCAAGTGAATCATGTGAGGGAAATTGAGTGAGTCCTGCCCTGAGTGGCTTAGAGCTGCATGTACCCCCCGGAGAGGTCCAGACGCAGAGGCCTGTGCAGGACTAAGTGTCCTCAGACACCCAGCCCCCCCTTCTTCAGGCACATGAGATGCCACCCGGAGCAGCCGTTACGTCCACATGTGAGACCGACCGGAGGGGGGACAGAGGGTGGAAGGTCAGGCCAGCTGATTCCCTTTGCCTTGGGGAGCTTCCCCAGGAGCCCCCCCCCCAGTGCCAGATCAGTGTCATCCGGCAACCTGTTTCCAGGGAAGGCTAAAAAATGTTTTTTCTGCCCTGGCCGGTTTGGCTCAGCGGTTGGAGCGTCGGCCTGTGGTCCAGAGAGACCCGGGTTCGGTTCCCGCTAAGGGCACGTACTTCGGTTGCAGTTTGTCCCCGGCCCTGGTTGGTCGTGCGGGTGGCAGCCACTCGATGTGTCCCTTCACGTCGATGTTTCTCTCTCTCTCTCTCCCTTCCTCTCTCTTCCTCCCACTCTATCTGTACAAAAAAAAAAAATGGAAAAATATCCTCGGGTGAGGATAAAAAAAAAGAAAAATGTTTTTTCTGCCCTGGCCGGTTTGGCTCAGCGGTTGGAGCGTCGGCCTGTGGTCCAGAGAGACCCGGGTTCGGTTCCCGCTGAGGGCATGTACCTCGGTTGCAGTTTGTCCCCAGCCCTGGTTGGTCATGAGGGTGGCAGCCACTCGATGTGTCCCTTCACATCGATGTTTCTCTCTCTCTCTCTTCCTCTCTCTCCCTCCCGCTCTATCGGAACAAAAAATGGAAAAATGTCCTCGGGTGAGGATTAAAAAAAAAAAAATGTTTTTTCTAATATTCATTCCCAACTAAACCGGGGTTCCACTAGTCGTGGCAAAGCAAAGGAGAGGCTTTGCGTTGGGTCCACAGCAGTCGGGCACACGAGGAAGAGAGCAGCCTTCACAGAGACCTTGGTGGAGGCCGGGCCTCCCGTGCGGCCTTCTGCTCGCTGCTTATTGAGTGGACAGTAAATTAACCGCTTCAACGTAGTCACCGCTTGGAATCCTCCTCGTGCCGTCTCAGGAGTTACGTCCTGTTATTTTGATTACGTCGAAGAGGAAATTGAGGCACAGTAGGTAGAGTGGGTCACTTGGGGGACATACTCAGTCAGGGTTAGGTTAGGTTCACCCTGGAGCCCACGCCCTCCCTGTCTAACACTGGAGGGAGCTGGGAGAAGAGCCAGTGGGCAAAGTGAGAAGAGGTCGGAGCCTTGGGGTGTGTACAGAGACAATGGTTGACCACAGAATATGAAAGGAAAAGGAAATGGACCAGGTGCACTATCCTCGTGGGCTTTGAAGTCATCTGTTCACTTGAGTTCCCACCACGTCAGACACTTTGTCAGAGAGACTGAGGTGATAGACACCCATCCTGTCCTTAGGGATGTCACAGTGACCATTACTGTAAACGCTGTAATAGAAGCACATGCAGATGTTGGTGTCTCCCTCCTCCTGGGAGGGCAGCGAAGACCTTCCTCCAGAGGAAGTTCTGAGGGAGTTTTCGGGAGGATCAGGAACTGTCCAGGCCCAGCGGAGGCCCAGCGGAGGCAGGGAGCTGGCGGAAGAGGCGCACGCCCAGGGGAACAGTGAGGGGACCGCTGGTGATACTAAGGTTTCACGTTAAAATAGGCCAGAGGGGTGTTTGGGTTCAGATCATGAACTTTAGGCAAGATGACTTGAATATTACTTAGATTACGAAAGTGACCAACAGAAGACAAGAGGATACATGTGGGGGGCATTTAAAATGAGTCTCAGTTGTGCCGGGTGATGGAGAGGACGAGGGACCAGTGGCTGTGGTGACGTGGAGGAGGAGCTGATGTGACAGGCAGTAGGTAGCCCGGCCAGTGTGGCTCAGTGGATTGAGCATCACCCACAGACTGACAGGTCCCAGTTCGATTCCCGGTCAGAGCACGTGCCCAGGTTGCAGGCTCCATCCCTGGGATGGGGCATGCGGGAGGCAGCCAACTGATGTTTCCCTCTCACGTCGGTATTTCTCTCTCTCTTCCTCTCTAAAAAATTAATAAAAATATATTTACAGGGACATGTTGAGTCCAGTTAGAGCCATATTACATCTGAGGTGCCAAGTAGTGGTATTCAGAATAGCCAGGGGAAGAGGAGAGGAGGGGTCACCCACGTATGTCAGGGGATAGTCGAAGCCATTCAAAAGGAAGGGGGGTGAAGAAGAGCCAAGAACCTGGGGAAACGAGGCGCATAAGGTGGAAAATCAGAGTGGTCAGGACGGGTGTGACAATAGCAGTGAAGGGAAGGCCACCCAGAGGCACTGGAGCACCCCCATCCCCACCCCCACCCCCTGGCCCTTTAAACAGTAGGTGGAGCAGCTGGGCATGTGGCTCAGTGGCTCAGCCTTGTCCCACCCACCAAGAGTGCGACTGGGCTATTCTGGGTCAGGGCTCAGTCCCCAGTAGGGGGCGTGCAGGAGGCAGCTGATCCATGTTTCTCTCTCACTGGTGTTTGTATCTCTCCATTTCCCTTTCTCTCTTTCTAAAATCAATGAAAACATATTTAAAAATAAAAAAATCGACAAGTTTGTGGGCCAAAGACAATTTTCCGTTAATGTTAGATAATGACTTCCAGTTCACCCTTATCATGTATCATCATAGCTACAGATTTGGTACCAGGCAGCATCTTTTCTAAAACTTCATATATGTCTTTCAGGTTTTAAATACAACATTTTAATTTCTGTTTTCTTACCCATATTCTAGTAAGTATGATCAACACCACAGATGCTAATTGGTGGACCTATACCATAGCATAAATAATCAGATTTCTATCTACATGTGTATGTATCTTATATATCTTTGTAGTCACACTTTTAAGTGACATCAAAGCTGCATTTTACTGAATCGAGCCATAGATATGTTTACACTCAGGGAGCAGTGAGTTCACTCAGATGCACCATGAAGTGAAGAATTGATCTACAGCTTATTCCTGTGTCCAGTGTACACTGATGGGGCCACATTCTGCACGAGACCAGTCCGAGTGAGGGGCGTGGTTTCTCTGTAGCTGCCTCGCATGACTGGGTGGGCACATCCACGCTTCCTAAAGTTCAGTGACGCTCCATGTGCCTTTATTCAACAACTTACTTAAAGTACTTTAGATACCAAAATAAAGAGTAAAAAATTGTTATGATGCATTTCACAGCAAATTTGTATATATTTGTTCGATCTGTTCATAAATATTTTCTTAATATGCTGTGCTAAGCAGCTTAATACAGGAACAATATGTACATGTTATATATGATAGGCATTTCACATTTTAAATCTTATTGATGCAGAATATCTTTAATTTGTCTAAATCTTATTTTTTTTGTCACTCAAGGATTTTTTTTTTGCATTTATCTTCACATAGAACGGGAGGGAGGGAGAGAGAGAGAGAGAGAAGCATCAATGTGAGAGAGACACATTGACTGGCTGCCACCCACATGACCCCATCTGGGTGGGGGACAAACTGCAACCAAGGTACATGCCCTTAGCGGGAACCGAACCCGGGTCTCTCTGGTCCGTGAGCCAGCACTCTAACCACTGACCCCAACTGCCCAGGGCTAAATCTGTTTTTTTACCTTGATATTTCCCAATATGTTAGTTGTGTGACCCCACAAAGTTTTTAAAATCATGAAATAATCATTAGATTAGGAAGATTTTATCAATGTAATTTGTTTTATGTGAACTTTGGCCTCCTGCCATGTCATATCTAGTATTACACTCGTAGATATTTTAAGTAAAGCAGAACAAATTGACATGTCATTGGATTTAACCTTTATTTTAAGCACATTTTTAAATTGGATTTTTAAATGCAGGGTGTATTCAGTTCTCGAGGGAAGAAGATCCTTATGGCAGATGCTGATGGAGCCACAAAGTTTCCAGATGTTGAGAAATTAGAAAAGGGACTTGATGAGCTACAGCCTTGGCCTGTGAGTATAAGAATATAATTTAAATTATATTTAATCAAGAATAAAAGGGATAGAAACTATAAGGAATATGAAGCTTACCTATAAGTTAAAAAACTAGGGGATTTTTTGGGTGTGGATTTCCTGTCTACAGGCTCACAGAAGAGCTAGTCATTTTGTTATAAACATTCACTGATTTTCTGAGGTTCACTTGACAATTACTTATTAATATTCTGGCCATCTGTCAGTTTTTAATCGCTTAACTTATATCTATCACGCATACATATGAAACCGAAAGCACGGTTTGAGACGTCCAGATAAAGGTAAGAAATGAAACAATCACAGAATCTGGTTTGTAATCAGACAGACAGACACAAGCAGCAACCAATCAAGCAGGATTACATGCCAGAGAAAGGGTCCAAGCTGGCTGCACAGCAGGTGGGAGCAACACTCACCGGCTCCCAGGACCGGACTGGAACTACAGCTAAATTACGGAAACCATCCTGGGTGACCAGCTGAAGAGAAGCCTGGCAGCCAAGGACGTACAGGGGAAACTGCACCCAGACTAAGCAAGTCACCCAGGCCAGTGAAGCAGCGTCTACAGGGCTGCACCAGACCCCTCCAGGAGGCCCAGACCCTGGTGTGAAACTAGAAATCAGCCACAAGGAAAAGCCTGTAAAACACACAGACTTGGAAGCTGAAGGATATGTTACTGAGAAATGAATGTGTGAACAATGAGATGAAGGAAGAAATCAAAAGATACCTGGAACCAAATGATGAGAACACAATGACCCAGAATCTGAGGGCACAGAGCATGCAGTCCTAAGAGGAAAATTGATAGCATTTCAGTCTCGTCTAAGTAAACAGTCTAACTTTACACTTAAAGGAACCTGAAAGAGAACAACAAACAAAGCCCAGAGTAAGTACAGGAAAGGAAAAATAAAGATCAGAGCAGAAATAAACAAAATAGAGTAAAAAATAAAGAAAAGATTAACGAAGCCAAGAGCAGGTTCTTTGGAAAGATAAACAAGATTGACAAACCTTTAACCAAACTCATCAAGGAAAAAAGGGGGGTGTGGCGGGATACGGAGGAGGGTGTCTTGGGGGATAAAGGAGAAACATCTGTAACAAAAATAAATTAATAAAATAAAAACAAACAAAAATTAAAAAAAAAAAGAAGGGACCCAAATATATAAAATCAGAAATGAAAGAGGAGTGATAATGGACAACAAAGGATGGTAAGAAAATACTACAGGTGTATGCCTACAAATTGGACGCTCTGGACAAACATGGTAAATTTCTATAAACATACACTCTTCTAGAACTGAGTTAGGAACAATTAGAGAATCCGAATAGACAGATTACAAGGAATAAAATTGAATCAATAAACTTCAACCAAATAAAAGTAAGTCCTGGATTGGATGGCTTCACAGATGAATTTACCAAAAATTCACAGAAGACCTAACACCTGTCCTTCTCAAACTAGTCCAAAAAATTCAAGAGGAGGGAAGAATTCCAAGCACATTATATGAGTCCAGCATTGTCCTAACTTCAAAACTAGACAGACACTGCAAAGACAGAACATTAGAGTCCGGTATTCCTGATGAACATAGATGCTAAAATCCTCAGCAAAACATTATCGAGCCGGATCCAGCAATACTTTAAGAGGGCCATATACCATGATCCAGTGGGATTTATTCTGAGAATACAAGGTTACTACAATATCTGCAAATCCGTAAATGTGATACGTAAACAAAGTGAAGGACGAAAACCTCATGATCACAGCAATAGATGCAGGAAAGCATTTGATAAAATCCAGCATCCATTTCAGATAAAAATGCTCAGCAAAGTGGGAATAGAGGGATCATATCTTAGCCAACATCCTACTCGGTGGGCAAAAACTACAGCTGTTTCCCTTACGGGTAGGAGCAAAACAGTCCTGGAAACCCTAGCTACAGCAGTCAGACAAGAAGGTGAAATAAAAGGCATTCAGATCTTAAAGGAAGAAGTAAAACTATCATTATTTGCAGATGACAGTGCACATAAAGAACCCTACAGATTCTACCAAATAACTACTAGAACTGATGAATGAATTCAGTAAAGTAACAGGATACAAAATAAATATCCAGAAATCACTGCATTTTTATACACCAATAATGAACTCTCAGAAAGGGGAGCTAAAAACTATCCCATTAAAAATTGCTTCAAAAAGAATAAAATACATAGGGGTAGATTTAACCAAGCATGTAAAAGACCTGTACTCAGAAAATTACCAGTTACTGAAGAAAGCAGTTGAAGAAGACACAAGTAAGTTCAAGCATCTACCCTGTTCATGGACTGGAAGAATTAACCTCACTGAAATGTCCATACTACCCAAAGCAATCTACAGATTCAACACAGTTCCTATCAGGACACCAATGGCGTATTTCATAGAACTAGAATAAATACTCCAAAAATTTATATGGACTACAAAATAACCCTGAATAGCTACAACAGTCTTAAGAAAGAAGAACAAAATTGGAGGAATCACTCTAATATCAAACTAGACTACAAGGCCATAGTAATCAAAACAGTATGTTACTGGCCTAAAAACAGACAAAGATCAATGGAACAGAATAGAGAGCCCAGAAATAAACTCATGCCTTTATAGTTCATTAATACGCGACAAAGGAGGCAAAACCATATAATGGGGTAAAGATAGTCTGCTCAATAGATGGTGTTGAGAATATTGGACAGATGCATGCAAAAAAAAAAAAAAATGAAACTAGACCACCTTCTTACACCACACACAAGAATAAATTTAAACAGAGTAAAGACTTGAAAGTTAGACTCAAAATCATTAAAATCCTAGATGAAAACATAGGTAATAAAATCTCGGACATTTATTGTAGCAATATTGTTTCTTAAATATTTATTTTTTTGGTACCTGCCCCTAGCGGGAGCTGAACCCGGAACTCTCTGGTCTGCAGGCAGACACTCCAACCGCTGAGCCACAGTGGCCAGGGCTTAAATATCTCTTCAGGGCAAACAAAAGGAAAAGTAAACAGATGGGCCTACATCAAACTAACAATTTTTTGCACAGCAAAGGAAACCACCAAGAAAATGATGATTGAGTGAAAAAAGAAAAAAGAGAGAGAGAGAACTCGTTGACAGGGACAACAGTGGGGTGTTTGTGGAGGAGGGGTGTGTGGAGGGTATCGGGGGATCAATGGTGACGTTCGAAGACTTGACTGGGTGTTGTGAATCCACGATACAGTGTACATATTACGTGCTGTAGAATTGTGCACCTGAAACCAGTATAATTTTGTTAGCCAGTGTCACCCTAGTAAGTTAAAAAAAAAAAACACAAACTTTATGTGCAACTTCATGCTATGACTTCAGAAGGAAAAAATAAAGTCCCCACCCCCCACCCCCGTCCCCAGCTGCCTGCACTTTCTCCTTTAGGTGTGCCCCTTTGCCTCCCTTCCCCGAGCTCCAAGGGCCTGTCTTTGCCTCTGTGACTTGTGTCCTGAGCCTGCGCAGTCCCACTGGCTCATCGCTGCTCACTTCTTTGACCTCTGACTTCCTGAACGTTTGCTTGTGTTTTAGTCTTGGCTCTGAATTCTTTCTTGGCCAGAACTTGAGTACGCAGGTTGCTGAACTGAGTTCCAATTGCTGGTAACACGGGTGCCTGTGCCTCCCACACTTACGAGAGGGGACTGGGGGCGGGCCTCTCTGTGCGGAGTTGCCAAGTGGTGGCCGTGTGCCGGCAGGACGAGAGCTCCCCCAGAAACCCAGTGAGCCCGCACCCTGATCCGGGACTTCCAGCTTCCAGCACTCTGAGAAACAAGTGTCTGTTGTTTTAAAAACAAAAACAGTGAAGGTTGGCTTTTACTCAGTGTGATGCATTTGAGATTCATCGATACTGCTGTGTATATCAGTAACTTGCTCCTTTATTCTATTATTTTTTTAATAAATTTTTTTTCTTTATTGATTTTAGAGAGAGAGGGAGGGAGAGGGAGAGAGATAGAAACATTGATTGGCCGCCTCCTGCATGCCCCCCACTGGGGATCGGGCCCACAACCTGGGCATGTGCCCTGCCCGGGAATCGAATCGACGACCTCTTGGTGCAGGGTCGACACTCAACCACTGAGCCACACCGGCCAGGCGATAATAACTTGTTCCTTTTAATTGCTCAGCAGTATTTCATTGCCTGGACGCAGCTTGTTTATTTCCTCAACTGCTGAAGGACATTCGGGCTGTTCCCAACATTTGACAATTACAAATCCAGTGTCGACATTCATGTTAAAGGGGGAAAGTGGAGGTTGAGAAAAGGAAGAAAATCCTAGTGCCACTCCCACCTTGTAAAAGCCAGTGAGAGCCCTGGCCAGGAGGCTCCGTTAGCTGGAGCGTGGTCCTGCACTCCGAAAGATCGCAGGTTCAAACCCGGGTCAGGGCACATCCCAGGGTTGCACGTTCGGTCCCCAGCTGGTCGCTGTCACACAGGTGTAATGCGCAGGCCTGGAAACTAGTTCCCCGGGAACAAGGGCAAGTACCCCAAGAAAAGTCCACCTGTACTGTCTGAGAAACGCCTGTCTTCATCACGGCAGCTATGCCAACTTATCGCAAGACAAGAATCAAAGAATGTTTGTACAAAGAGATAAATCCTGAAATATAGCACAAGGAAATGGATAAAATACATCAGAACATTTTTTGCTAAAGAAATAACACTTAATAAAGGTAATTAGGCATCGTGGGCCTTTGGGGCGAGGGGCACAACAGCAGAAGGGTCTTAATGGAGGAATTTCCTAGCTAAGGACACAGGTCGTGGGTCCGAATAAGGTCAGTAAATAGAACCTCTCGTGAATGACAGACTTAATTTAAAGCTGATTATTATTATATATTTGTTAAAATAAGCCCTATTTGTTACCAATAACCAAACAGTAGAAAAGTTTAACACACATACAAAACCCATTAAAGAAAAACCCCAGCCCTGGCCGATTTGGCTCAGCGGTTGGAGCGTCATCCTGTGGACCAGAGAGTCC